CCTAAATCAGGTCACGATAAAGTCTCGCTTCACGGCGGTTACCACCAGATTCGAGTCTTCGCCGACGACTGCCACAAGACCGCGTTTCGTACTCGCTACGGGAGTTACGAATTTACAGTCATGTAGTTCGGGTTAACGAATGCCCCCTCGACGTTCCAGCTGACGATGAACGGGGTATTCCGGGATCTACTCGATAAATGTGTGATCATTTATCTTGATGATATCCTGATTTACAGCAAGACATGGGAGCAGCAGTTTAAGGACCTGGAAGCGGTTTTTCAGTGCCTGCAACAGAATCGTCTCATCACCAAAGGTTCTACAGTGGCGAAAAAAATTGCCCCGATGTTTGGCACTTCGTAACATATCGCCATGCAAGACATGTCTCGAATATAGTAACACCAATTTTTTATCGGCCTGTTACAAGGTCGTAGTCTTGTGTTTCCACCGTAAACACGTTGGCACGATTGTCACTCATCCAATTAGCGGGGATGAGATTTCCTCATCGACAGTCAATCCGTACAGTTCATACCAAGCGACAGTCTAGATCTAATTTCACTCGCCACTTGGAGTACACACGGTTTCACTCAACAGCTGTTAGTATAGGAGTTAAGCCAGAAGCGAACCTACGTCTGCAGCATGATGAAGCCGGTAGATGAGAAGAAGCACGTGTGTATCTTAAGCATGTTGCGCAAGGGGCTGTCGACTAGGAAAATAGCCAAGGAGCTTGGCATAGGCAAAAGTACTACGCATGATTACGGACTGAAGGTGATTGCCGAGACTAGTCGCGATGAGGTGCGACCCACGATGCCCACGGCCGGTCGCCCACGCTTAATCACAACTCGCCTTCAGCGCGGAATAGTTATTGCGATTACCAGCGGGGAGGCGAAAACCAGTGTAGACGCCGCGAAAATGTTAGAGGAGAAGCATGATCTGGCTGTAGACTGGAGGACCGTTAGGAAATCATTACGATCCGCTGGGCTAGTTGCAGTGCAGCAGCCCAAGAAGCCCAGGCTCTCTGCGAAAAAAATCAGAGATCGGCTGGATTTCGCGAGGTCACATGCCGACTGGACGATGGAAGGTTGGAAGCGCGTAATATGGTCAGATGAGACGAAGATTGATCGTTTCTGCTCCGACGGACGTGCGTACGCCTGGATTCGCGAGGGCAGCAGTCTCCGGGGCCACCAGATCTAGCAAACAATAAAGCATGGGGGTGGCTCTGTGGTGGTGTGAGGCTGCATGACGTATGAGGGGGCGGGGCTCATGTGCAAGGTCGATGGAAATGGATAGATGGGCCGCTGTATCGCAACATCTTGCAAGACGAAGTCTCTCAGACCATCGAGTTTTAAAAGCTCCCCCCCTCAGAGGTCATATTCCAGCACGAGAATGATCCCAAGCACAAGTCACGTCTGGTGCAAGACTGGCTTGGGGAGCAGGAGTATGCAGTGCTGGAATGGCCCTCATCCTCCCTGGACCTTAACCCGATAGAACACCTGTAGGCCCACTTGAAAAGGGAGCTGGCGAAGTACGAAAAGCCTCCCACAAGAATGTTGGAGCTGTGGGAGAGGGTGCAGGAGGAATGGGACAAGATTCCGTTGGAAGTGTGCTCAAACCTCATCGACTGTATGCCCAGGAGAATCAAGGCGGTGATTTGCGCGACGCTGGACTAGGTACTAGTTTTGCTAGTTTCTAATTTGCTGCCTGTCTTCGGTACACATTGTCCGGATGTGCTCTTACTAAATGCTTTAGTCTTGAAGGACCATGTACTATACTACTCTGGTTTTAGCAGACTTGAGTGAGTGCTCTAATTGCTCTTCTCAACGTGTATGCTCACCATAGATTAAGGCTTAATGTTTACACATTACAGCTCAGCAAAATGCAAAAACATGCTAAACAGCAGGACATTTTTTTCCGTCACTGTAAGTGCGAGTTTTTAAAACCCGAACTGGAGTTTTTGGGGCACGTTATTATGACGGAAGGCGTGAAAATTGACCCTCACAAAATTCTGGCAATTCAGGAATGGAAGCCGCCGACAAACCTCTAGGAGCTGCAATCGTTTTTGCGGTTCGTCAATTATGTGCGCCAGTTTATCCCCGACATGGCGGGGTTAACTGGAGCACTAAATGACCTACTTCATAAGGGCGCTGATTATCAGTGGGGGGAGAAGCAGCAAGTTGCGTTTGACGAATTATTTAAAAAAAAAAAAAAAAAATCTCGACACCGGTACTTCAGATTGCTGACCCAGAACGACCATTCGAGGTTGTGACAGACGCAAATGACATTGCAATCAAAGCAGTTATGCTACTGGATTTTGGCGACGACCTTCTGGTAATCGCGTATGATTCGCGAAAATTACAATCGGCTGAACAAAATTATCTCGTACACGACAAAGAAATGTTGGCGATCATGCACGTGTTCAAGATCTGGCGATGCTACCTGACGGGAGCCAACGTGACTGTACGAACAGATCACAAATCCCTACAGTACATGCGCGCGCAGCCGAATCTCAACCCGCGGCAGATTCGCTGGTTGGATTATCTGAAGTCGAACTTCACGTATCGAATCACGTACAAGAAGGGTGCCAACAACATTGCTGACGCCCTCTTCAGACCATCTGCCCAAACCGCCGCTGTACTAATCGCCCAGATGAACTCGCTGCCGAGAGGACTCTTTACCCACAGATATTCGACCAACCCCTTTTTCGTAAACAATGGCCACCAGCACATCACGACCGCGCGGGGAGCCCATTACGTAAAAGCGGAAACGGAACGAATTTGGGTTTCGAGCTATCGTCTACTTCGCGAATTACTAATTCAAGAAGTCCACGATTCGAACTTATTGGGAGATTTTGGGGTTGACAAGACTCTGGAGGCACTGCAGCGGTTTGATTACTCGCCAAACATGATTTCCGACATGCAAAAATACGTGGGCGCGTGTCTGACCTGCCAGACAGTTAAATCATTACGCCAGTGGTAAGCAGGACTATTGCAGCTCCTCGAGCCACCCCATTGACCTTGGCAATACGTGACAATGAATTTTGTCACTAGATTGTCGGCTGGACCAAGTGGAAACGACGCGGTCCTTGTCGTCGTCGACCGCCTCACGAAAGTGGCGCATTTCGCGCCATGTCGCACGATGATCACTGCCGAAGAAACCGCGCGTCTGTTCATCTCGGTCGTCGTTCACCTGCATGGTATCCCTGCGGCGATCATCAGCGAGAGAGACCCGAAATTCACCTCGCGTTTTTGGCAAGACACGTGGAACCGATACTGCAGTTCTCATCCACCTATCACCCACAAACCGACAATCAGACAGAATGGATGAATAAGACCATGGAACAACCGATTCGCACGAATTGCCCGGATATCAGTGAATGGGAAGAGTCGGTACCCATGCTCAAGTTTTACTACAACAATGCACCCTCAGCCAGTCGCCTCGTGTCGTTGCCTCCTGCCTCGTGCCGCCCGTCGCCTTGTGCCGTCCGTAGCCGCCAGCCGCCCGTAGCCGCTGGCCGCCCGTAGCCGCCAGCCGACCGTAGCTGCCAGCCGCTCGCCGGCCCTTCCTAGCTAGCCCCACGCTCGCCAGACCCGCGCCCGCTGGCCCCGTTCTCGCTGGCCCCGTGCTCGCCAGCCCCACGCTCGCCAGCCCCGCGCTCGCCAGCCCCGCGCTCGCTGGCCCCGTGCTCGCTGGCCCCGCGCTCGCCAGCCCCGCGCCCGCTGGCCCCGCGTTTGCCGGCCCCGCACCCGCCAGCCTTGCGCTCGCTGGCCCCTAGCTCACTGGCCCCGCGCTCGCTGCCCCCACCCCCCACCACCCCCACCCCCCCCCCGCTCGCCGGTCCCCAGCTCCACCGGCCCTAGCTCCGCCGGCCAAAGCCCGCGCCGGCCCCGTGCCGCCGCGCCGCAGTGCCGCAGTGCCGCCGTGGCGCCGTACCGGCGAGCCGCTCTGCCGCCCCGACCTACCGGCCTTGGCTTCCATCTGAGCCGGCACTCCTGCCAACTGTCTCCACCACTCTCCACTGCACTTCACCACACTCGACCGCCCTCCACCGCTCTCCACCACTCTCTACCACACTCCACCGCTCTCCATTGCTCTCCACCGCTCTTTACCGCTCTCCACCACTCTCCGCCGCTCTCCACCGCTCTCCACCGCTCTCCACCGCCCTCTACTGCTCTCCTCCCTCCCCTCCAGCGGCAGTCAACTACTGCAGCTGTGGTGATGGCGGACTCTGTACTCCGCCTGGACGCGGAGGGTCGGGCGGTTGACTTTGAGGCGTGGCTCGTCGACCGCCGCCGCCAGCTGACAGGTCAACGCCAAGACAGCTACTCCCTTGCCATCCACGTCGATGGTAAGCTCTCTTGTCTCGCCTCGCATGCTGCCCTCCCTACCGCCCCCACGTCTGCTAAGCGTGAGGCCTTTGAAAATGCTAACCGAGCCTTTGAAAATTCTGGGACATCGCGTCACAATGCAGCTGAACCGTCGGATGGTGACTTCCTCGTCCGCTGGCGCGATCGCACGTCCGAAGACGACAGCTGGGTGCTCCTCGCTGACCTAGAATCACATCCGATTCTAACGGCATATTATCAGCGTCGGCATGTCTCCGATGCCCACGGACTCGTTCAGGAGGGGGGGGTAGTGTAAGGAATTACCATTCCTTACTGCGTCGACCGCTACCGCGTACACCCGAACATCTCGACTCGTCACGTTCGGCCTTCATTTTTTGCCCAACCCTTTCCCGAGTCGCGTCCGACACTCTCGCCACATTGCCGAACCTACTCACGTTCCGATGTTATCGCCCTAGTACGTCTATTCCTATATAACCTCGTGCTTTCATTGCAATAGCGACCTTGTATTCTCACGTTTTAGTACATTGACATTTCTAAATCATAACAAACGTAGTGAAGCGAACCACCTCCAAACTCAACAAGAGTTGTCGTAAGTCCCCGAGGCCATTTTCGGGATCAATTTCCCCTGTCAATTCATCCCAGAGAATGTCAGAAGTCAGCTGGCGAATATCAACTGCAACTTATGTCTACATAACACCTCCGAGATTCGCGGTTTCTCGAGGAACACCGAGCAGATTCTCGCTGGTCATTGAGCATCATGCGTCGACTGCAATAGCCGTGAATCTTTCAGCTGTTTGTGCAGGGTCCATGGAGTAATTGCTATTCCTGCTCCGTGCTTGAACTATTGCAAGCAGAGCCCTTGACACCCTTAGTCTCGTAACTGACATCAACTGATCAGCCATACGAAGATTGCTACCAAAGTAGCCTTCCATGTCGCTCAACCGTACGGCTTCGGCCGCGCTGCCGTTTCTGATAGGAATTCTCGCAGGCGCTGCGCTGCTGACACTGCAGCAGGTTATGACAGGAGGGAATTTTACGTTCCCTATCGTCTCGTCGTCTCTCTTCGCGTTCTCGAATTCAGCCAACCGATCAGTCTCGCAACACGTGGATAAGCCTGATTGGCTGACTTCTGCTGCTTCGATCGGCGCTGCTCATGAGGAGATTCGTTATAACACGGACGCAGGACCTGTGGAAAGCAAGCTGAACGTGCATCTGGTAGCGCATTCACATAATGACCTGGGATGGACGAGAACTATCGACAAGTACTACGTGAGTCCCGGTTCCATGCGGTTCAAGAATCCCTTTGAACCTGCCTTCCTGAAGAAACACCTGAATGGTTCTCCGTCTTTGGCTTCCTGATTGCTATGCTTACACATTTTATAGGCTTGTTTTGACCATTTGATGATGCACGTGTCCAGGTTACGGCAGTACAGTACATTATCGAGACTGTCGTTGACCAGCTTGAGGCTAATCCTGATCGGAAGTTTATTCAGGTGGAACAGGTGAGAGCTGGCCGACGTTGGAGATCAACCGTGTGTCAATCTCAGGCTAACCAAGTCATTTCAATGTCTGGCTAACCAAGTCACTTCAATGACAGGATAACCGAGTCATTTCAACTTCAGGCTAACCAAGTCATTTCAATCTCAGGCTTACCAAGTCACTTCAAGCTCAAGCTAACCTTGTAATTTTTGCTCAGGCTAAACAAGTGGATTTCATTTCAAACTAACCATATCAAGGTGTATCGGACTTAACGTGCCATTTCAAGTCCAGGCTGAAGAGGTCATTCTGATTCTTGGCTGACCACATCATTATATTTTCAGGCTAACCATATCACTTCAATTTTGGGCTAAACATCCCGTTTTTTTCTCAGGCTAACAATAATCAGGCTGAACACGTAGTAACAATCTCAGTCCAACCATGCCTTCATTTTCAGGCTAGCCATGTCAACTCAATTTCAGGCTAAACATGCCAGTTCGATCTCAGGCATACCACGTCACTTTTATACCAGGCTGGCCATGTCATATTTATGCGGCTAACGATGCCTTCTCAAATCTCCAGGCTAGCCATACCTGTAATTTTCGGCCTAACCATATGACATATTTTCAGGCTGACCATGTTGATCAATCTCAGGCTAACAGTGCCATGTCCATGGGGCAGAACTATAATGATCGTTGCAACACCAGCAGCAATACCTCAACGCTTCCTCTTTCGTTTCAGGCATTCTTCTATCGCTGGTGGCAGCAACAGTCAGAGAACATGCGGAACAGAGTGCGTGCTCTGGTTGCTTCTGGTCAACTCGAGTTCGTGTAAGTCTTTCAACCTCGTTTTCCCTGTTGCGCTGAAGTACTCCTTTTTCTCCTTTGACCTGTGGCATTGATGTCTGGCTACTTTGCTTACTGTAATTCTCTCAGGGTAACTTCATCCATCACTGAGTGATGGAGGACAAGCACATTACGTACTCAATTTAATATACCTTGCCAGAATCTTCAGAAACGTGTCAACCCATCTGCCCCCCAATGTGACAGTAACGGGGGGTGGGTAATGCATGACGAGGCCACCACGCACTACACCGACATGATCCACCAGATGTCGCTGGGGCTGCGCTTTCTCCGCTCCGAGTTCAATGTCACGCCGCGCATCGCATGGCAGATCGACTCGTTTGGCCACTCGGCAACGCAAGCCAGTCTCATCACTGCTCAGGTGTGCTGGGAGGGGAGGGGGTACATAGTCCACCAACGTGGCTTAATTCATTGTTCACATGTGGTAAGCCTTGGTACTACCCTTCTCACGCTCTCATTCCCCTCCCCCCGCACACCCCCCCCCTACCCCCCACTCACACGCCTGTCGTTCCCACTCTTTCCCTCCTGCGTATATTATCGAGCCTCTCATCGGAGCAGGCTGGATTTGACGGGGTATTTTTCTCCCGGGCGGATTATCAAGATGTGGCCAATCGGCAGCAAGAAAAGAAGGAAGAGTTTGTGTGGCGTGCATCGAAAACATTGGGAGAATCGGCCCAGGTTAGCGCTCTTTTGCAAAGTCAGGGTTTTAATCGCTGAAAGGACTGCTGTTTTCACAACGTATTCTTCTTTCCCTTCTCCACGCCCTTTTTTAAACAGGTTTTTGGTGGTCACCTGTATTGGATGTATGATCCCCCCCCTGGGCTTGATTTCGAGGATAGTGCAGCACCGCCATTCATTCAGGTAGTGAAAAGCATGTGCAAGACATGTGCGGGGCACGTGGTAGGAAAGCGCACATGTCATGGCGACATTTCTTCATTAGTCCTTCCAGTTCCCTGATTCGCTAACTCATCCTTGCCACTATACCACACCTGCGCGGAATCTTCTTCAGTTTAAGCTGTCCTGTGCTCACCCTGTCAGCTCTTGACCTCAGTTTCGTCCTGCCATCTCCAACCTCGTTACAGGATGATCCGCTTTCAGGAGAAGTCAACGTCCAGAAGCTTGTTGACCTGTTCGTGCAGCGTGCTTGGGAACAGGTATGGCAGCTAGCTTGTGCATTTAGTGACTCCTGTCAGTTGTTGCAATACACATGTGCATGCATGATTGCATGCATGATCACATGCATATTCGATCCAACCCCATAATGGCCACAGCAGAGATAGGGCTTGTTGTTATACGTCCTTCTTTCCGTTCACAACTTCTCCTGCAGGCCAAGGTGACTCGGTCCAACCACGTGATGTTCACCATGGGGAAGGACTTCGCCTACACCAATGCCATCCTCTGGTTCAAGAACATGGACAAGCTCATTCACTACGTCAACCTGGTATGAGGCGGTGTGTGCTTGGCGTGGCATCGTATATTATGGGATGGGATGGGATGGGATGGGGTGGGATGGGATGGGATGGGATGGGATGGGATGGGATGGGATGGGATGGGATGGGATGGGATGGGATGGGATGGGATGGGATGGGATGGGATGGGATGGGATGGGATGGGATGGGATGGGATGGGATGGTATGGGATGGGATGGGATGGTATGGGATGGGATGGGATGGGATGGGATGGCATGGCATGGCATGGCATGGGATGGGATGGGATGGGATGGGATGGGATGGGATGGCATGGCATGGGATGGGATGGGATGGGATGGGATGGGTTGGGATGGGATGGCATGGCATGGGATGGGATGGGATGGCTTCATGTGGTTCAAGAACATGGTCGAGCTCATCCACTTTGTTAACCTGGTATGGCAGCCTGGCCACCATCAGGGCGGCAGGGTGAGCACCTTGTTCCCACACACACCCTCCACACCCTCCACTAACTCCTCTTGCTCAACAATCTCTCACCACCACCTCCAGGCGGCAGGGTGATCGCCCCTTACTCCACGCCCTCCACACAATCCTCCTGTTCACGACTCTTCTTGTCCTTTTTTTCATTCAATGCTGTCACTACCTCACCAACACCAGGGCGGCAGGGTGATCGCCCTCCAGGCAATCCTCTAGTCTTTTTGTTCACGCAATCATCTCACCCCCTCACCACCGCCAGGATGGCAGGGTCAACGCGCTGTACTCCACGCCCTCCATCTATGTGGACGCCAAGCAGCACGCTGACGAGACCTGGCCCCTCAAGACTGGCGACTTCTTCCCGTACGTGCACTTCCCACCAATCTCTCCTGTGTGACAGCGACAGCCTGTTGCTCTCCTCTCCGTGCTCTCAAACATTGTCTGCGTGCCTGCATGCTGATTCCCCCCTCCCGCCCTCCCTCCTCTTTCGTTCCCCCTCCCTCCTCTTTCTTTCCCCCTCCTCTCCCCCCTCCTCCTTTCCCCTCTGCTCAGCTATGCTGACTCACCGCATTCCTACTGGACGGGCTTCTACTCCTCCCGCCCAGCCTTCAAGCGCTACGTGCGGGTCTGCAGCGCTCTGCTGCTGGCTGCCAGCATGCTGGAAGCAGCAGTGGGGCGAGAGGCTCTTCAGGCATGGGGGGGTGACACTGACGGCATGGACTTGGTGGGCTCTGGCGTGGGCAGAATGATGGTCCCAGATTTCCGTGCCTTGGATTCGAGTGGTGGACCTGGAGATAGAGAGGGTGGGAACACAGGCAGTGATAGTAATGGTGGTGCTGCTGGTGTCGGGACTGCTGCTGCTGGTTCTGGTGGTGGTGTTGGTGCTGGTGGTGCTGGTGGGGCTGGTGGTGGTGCTGGGAATGGTGGTGGTGCCGGGGGGCGTGATTCTCGGGCGGCGTCAACAGCATCGCTGGGGGAGGCAGTAGCCGTGGCACAGCACCACGACGCCATCACAGGCACGGCTCAGCAGCACGTGAATGACGACTACACGCTCAGACTGCACAGAGCGGCACAGGAGGTGAGAAGACGGTGGTTAGGGTGGGGAAGGGAAAGCGAGGGGGGGGGGCGGGGGGAGTAGAGGGGAGGGGAGAGAGCGGCACGTGAATGACGACTACACGCTGAGGCTGCACAGAGCAGCTCAGGAGGTGAGGAAGGGAAGAGTTCCTGAATAATTGCAGCATGTGAATCTCGGTCTCCACCTATAGCTGACCCTCCTCTCGCCTCTTGACTCACCAGTTCTTCCTTACTTGTATTCTCCTGTTCCTCCTGTCCTAATCTTCTGTCCCCCCCTCTGCCCCACACCTGTTTCCGTCTCTCCATTCCAGGCCTCAACTGTTCTAACCAGTGCACTGGCCTACCTTATTCTTCACCCCCCTCCTCCTCCACCTCTCTCCCCTCCTCCCACCACCACCAACTCCACTGCACCTGGGCCCACACGAGCTGCGTCTGGTGCTAATCCTGCTAATACACCTGCTGCAGCTGCTACCCATCCTGCTGCTGCTGCTGCTGCTGCTGCTGCTGCTGCTACTGCTGCTGGTGGTGGTGCTGTTCCTCATTCACCTGCTACAGCTGGCGCTGATACTGCTGGTGGTGCTGCTTCTAACGAGGATGCAGCAGCAGCAGCTGCTGCTGCTGCAAAGGCTGCTGCAGGGGGTGGTGATGTTTCTTCAGCCACCAGCACAACACCGCATCGCGCGCCTCTCGAAATTCAACACACTGTGATGGAGGGTGTGTCACATGGAAGGCAGGGCACATTGCAAGGAACGCAGGGTGAAGGGCCGCATATGAACCCATACGGACCTGGGCGCTCTCACAAGAGCATGCACTGGAGAGGCCGTGACTTGCTGGTCAAGGCTGGGGAGCAGCTTGGAGGAACAGAGAGGGCGGAGGGAGTGGAGGAAGGGATGGGCAACAGGAGGCGGTTGCAGGAGAGGCCCAAACTGCTGCTCCAGACGGTGAGTGGGGTGTGGTTGAAGGATTGGCGATGGTAAGTGAGGATAGGGATGGGCGAGAGAAGATGGGTGCAGGAGCAGCCAAAGCTAGTGCTTCAGATGGTGAGTGAGGAACGATTTTGGTTAAGTACCATCAACATCTTTTGTGGCCCCGATGGTACTCTTTGTGGTCATCACCCCCCCGTACTTCTGCAATATCTGTTTCTCAAATGATCGTTCTTCCCTCCCTTGACATGCGTGCTATCCTCTCTCCCCTCCTCCCTGCAGTGCCCTCTTCTCAACATCTCCTTCTGCCCTCCGTCTCAGTCTGGCCTTGCACCCAGCAAAACCCTTGTGAGAACATTTCTGCCGAGTTGTGCTTGGAGGCTTTGTGCTTGGGAGCTTTCGCTCAGGACGATTTTGATTCTGGCGAGTTGCTGTGGTTGTAGCGCGATGATGGGGTAATAGCTTGACTTTTCAGACGACTCAGTTGCTGTGGTTGTTGTGCCTGTGAGCGTGATATTTTGATGTGCAATGTCTTATCCCCCCCCCCCCCACAAATCCCTTCTCGGCGTAAGGTGGTGGTTGCTTTCAATCCTCTTGCCTCAGCGCGCACTGAAATCGTCCGCATTCCAGTAAGCTCCAGTGTTTTTATTTCTCATACGACTGCTTTATACCTGCAATCTTCAGTCAGGACACACTGAAACATGTATTGTTAAATAACTCCTCCATTCCTATTCCTCGCCCTTCTCCACTACCAACCTCTCCTTCCAAAACCACCACCATCCATCGTGTCACTCTAAAAACCTCCCTTCCTTCCTTCCTCTGCTCCTTCTCCCTCATTCGTCCCCTCTTTGCTCCCCTTTTCCCTCCCTTCCTTCCCACCGCCCACCTCCCATCACCGCCCACTGCCCGTCACCGCCCACCGCCCATCACCGCCCACCGCCCGTCACCGCCCACCACCCGACACCACCCCTCCCCATGCGCCACCCCCCATCACCACCCTTCACGGCCCACCACCCGCCACTGCCCGTCACTGCCCGTCACCGCCCGTCACCGCCCGTCACCGCCCGTCACCGCCCGTCACCACCCGTCAATGCCCGCCACTGCCCCCACCGCCTGTCACCACCCGTCACCGCCCCTCATCGAGCCTCACCGCCCGCCACCGCCCCTCGCCGCACCTCACTGACTGCCACCGCCCGTCACGGCACGCCACCGCCCGCCACGGCCCGTCACTGCCCGTAATCGCCCGTCACCACCCGTCACCGCCCATCACCGCACGCCACCGAACGCCACCGCCCGTCACCGCCCACCACCGCCCGCCACTGCCCGTCACTGCCCGCCACCGGCGGCCACCGCCCGCCACCGCCCGCCACCCCCTGTCACCGCCTGTCACCGCCTGTCACCGACCGCCACCGCCCACCACCGCCTGCCACCTTCTGTCACCGTCCGCCACCACCCGTCACCGCCCGCCACCGCCCCTCACCGCCCGCCACCGCCCCTCACCGCCCCTCACCGCCCCTCACCGCCCCTAAACACGCAGCTCACTAACCGCCACCGCACGTCACCGCACCGTCCGTCACGGCCCGCCACCACCCGTCACCACCAGCCACCGCCCGTCACAGCCCGTCACTGGCCGCCACCACCCGCCACCGCCCGCCACCACCCGTCACCGCCCGCCACCGCCCGCCACCAGGCGTCACTGCCCATCACCTCCCGTCATCGCCCGCCACCGCCCGTCACCGCCTGTCACCACCTGCCACCGCCCGCCACTGCCTGTCACCGCCCTCACCGCCCCTCACGGCCCCTGACCGCCCTTCACCGCACCTCGCCGCCTGCCACCACCCGTCACCGCCCGCCACCCCTCGCCACCGCCCCACCCCTCGCCACCGCCCGTCACCGCCCGCCACCGCCCGCCACCGCCCGCCACCGCCGCCACCGCCCGCCACCCCCCCCGTCACACCGACCGTCACTGCTTGCCACTGCCCTTGACCGCCCACCACCACCCGTTACCGCCCGTCACCGCCCACCACCGCCCGTCACCGCCCGCCACCGCCCGCCACCGCCACTCACCGCCCGTAACCACCCTCACCGCCCCCCACAGCCCCTCACTGCCGTTCATCGCGCCTCGCCACCCGCCACCGCCCGTCACCGCCCCCCACCGCCCGCCACCGCCCGCCACCGCCCGTCACCGGCCGCCACGGCCCGCCACCCCCCGTCACCGCCCGCCACCGCCCGCCACCGCCCGCCACCGCCCTTGACCGCCCGTCACCGCCCGCCACCGCCCTTCACCGCCCGCCACCGCCCTTCACCACCCGTCACCGCCCGCCACCGCCATCACCGGCCACCGCCCACCACCGCCCACCACCGCCCGCCACCGTTCGTCACCGCCCACCACCGCTCGCCACTGCCCGCCACTTCCCCTCGCCGCCCGCCACCGCCCATCACCGCCCGCCACCGTTCGTCACCGCCCATCACCGCCCGCCACCCCCCTTCACGGCCCGTCACCGCCCACCACCGCCCGCCACCGTTCGTCACCGCCCACCACCGCTCGCCACTGCTCGCCACTGCCCCTCGCCGCCCGCCACCGCCCGTCACCGCCCGCCACCGTTCGTCACCGCCCATCACCGCCCGCCACCGCCCGCCACCGCCTGCCACCCCCCTTCACGGCCCGTCACCGCCCGCCACCGCCCGCCACCGCTCGCCACCTCCCGCCACCGCCCTTCACCGCCTGCCACCGCCTTTCACCGCCTGCCACCGCCCGTCACCATCCGCCACCGCCCGGCACTGCCCGTCACTCCAGCCACCGCGCGCCGCCTAGCCTTCCGTCTTCCTCTTACCCGCTTCCACCTTGCATCTTGCGTCTATGCTCTCTCTATTCCTCGTTCTGCTCGCACTCTCTTCCCCCCCCAACCCTTCCCTGCTTCTCTTCCTCAACCTCCGTCTTGCCTTCCCATCAATTATCAACCCCCTCAGTGGTTGTTACAGACTCCAGCCACCAGCCCATCCCGTCTCAGCTCATCCTGGACCTCCTCCCCCGTCCAGCCGTCCGCTCCTTTTACACAACCGCACATGCCCCTTTCTCCCCCTTCCCTTCCCCCCAATCCCTCCCTCTTCCCGTTATCCTTTCTCGTCAGGTCTCCACCCCCTCTGTCGTCGTCACAGACTCCACCCACCAGCCCATCCCATCTCAGCTCATCCCGGACCTCCTCCCCCGTCCAGCCGTCCGCTCTTTCTACACAGCCGCGCATGCAGGGGTGCGTGTGACTCCCCTGGAGCAGCAGCAGGGGGCGATGTCGGTTGTGTTCCGTGCCGAGGTGCCTCCTCTCGGGTACTCCACCTTCTTCCTCACTGCAGCGCGACCAGGTAACTGAACTTCTAAGTTGGCTCAGAGCAGAGGTGACCCCTGTTGGTTACTCTACCGTCTTCCTCACTCCAGCCTGACCAGGGACGAGCCGGCTCCTAGGTTCACTCAAATGTTTCTCTCTCGATGAATGTTTCGCATTGTCCCATCAACGCTCCTCTTGCTACTATTGCCTCCCTTCAATCCTCTTCGACATTCCTTCCCTTCGACCCTCCTTCTACATCAGGAGCTGCGGGGGTTGCAACAAGCAGCAGTGACTGGAGCCTGGGACTCAAGCAGCAGAGAGGACGGAATACAAGGAGCAAGAAAGGGAAGGGGAAGAGCAAGAAGGGGAAGAAGAAGGCACAGAAGGACGAGTACGAAGAGGAGGGAGGGGAGGAAGGATATGAGGAGGAGGGGCAAGAGGAAGCGGTGGAGGAGGAGACACAGAGTGAAGGGGAGGAAGAAGGGGAAGAGGAGGGAGGGGAGGAGGTGGAGATAGGCGATGGTGTGGGTCTGGGGGATGAGATAGTTTTTGGAAAGGTGGTGGGTGGTCGGCCGGCATCGCGGGTCTTTTTCTCCAAAACTTCTCGTGGCATGACCCGTGCTGAACTTATCAAGCCCAATGGAAAGGCATTTGCTACTGTATGTTGTTTCCCCTCCATTTGCCATGGCCTTCCATGTGCCATGCATGGGCCATGGCCTTGCATGTATCGTGTCCATCTGTTACACCTCCCAAAACTGTCGTTTTTGTTGGAACCATCAGCATCACGTTGACTGTCTTTTCTAGCACTCTCACTCACTTATGTCTCACCCGCCCTCTTGACTGCCCGCACTGTTCCCTTCAATCCATCTACTTGTCTTTTCTCATGTGCGCTGAATTATGCCTGTGCTCTCTCCCCCTTGTGTTATGTGATCTGACTGATACCTGTGGTGTCATCAGTTGGCTGCAGCTAACCTCAGCAGCGACATGCTCTTCTACTCATCTGCAGAGGTCAGTTTTTCCCGTGCTACCTCCTAGAGGCTTCTACCTCACTCCAGCTGTCACTGCCCTCCATTGTATATCATTCTCTCCCCTCTCCCCGCTGCTCCCGCAGTGGTGCATCCGTTTCATCTTCATCGATACCTCTCTTTCTTCGTCCTGCCATTGACTTTCTTCTCCCCTCGTTCTTGCCATTCCCCTCCCTCGTATGCCCATCCAATCTGAAGCGTACATTACGTTTTCCCCTCCCTAACCCTCTCACCCGTCCCTCCAGTCTGGAGCGTACATTTTCAAGCCCACTGCAGACGGCGCCCTGCCGTTCCGCACCCAGCAGAGAGTGCCCATACGGGTGCTGCGAGGACCAATTGTGGAGGAGTTCCACCGCCAAGTGGCTCCGGAAATTACCGAGGTGAGTACATGCATGCACTGTGGTAGTGTTGACTCGGGATGCTGATGCGCTGCGAGGGCCAATCGTGGAGGAGTTTCACCAACAAGTGGCTCTGGAAACCACAGAGGTGAGCGGGCTTAACTTCACACGTGTGTCTTCAATCTGGTCTGAGTATCTATATGGGTGGTAGAGGCGTCAATTCCAGTTTGTTCCATTCCATTAGGTGTATCCTGGGGAGAACTATGCGGGGCTTGGGTACTCTGTGCTTGAGTTTGAGGCGCCTCAAGCCATCTCTCAAGTCATCTACCATGCATGCACGTGTACCAGGTGTAACTTCAGGAGAAAAACACAGAGCTTTAGTCCTTTAGCTAGATTCTGAGTGGCCTTAAACCGTCCTGTGTCCTATCTTCCCTGCAGGTGTACCGGGTGTATCCAGGGGAGAACTATGCAGAGCTAGGGTACTCCATAGGGCCGCTCTCAGAGGACGGCTATCTGGGTAAAGAGGTCGTGGCTGCCTTTTCCTCTTCCATTCAGAACGGAGGGGTCTTCCATACAGACTCCAATGGCCGTGACTACCTCAAACGAGTGAGTTTTATATGGGGGATAGAGCACATCGATGTAGTATAAAGGGGGCGATTTGCACCTTCCCCTCTCATCCCTTCTCTTATGCTCTTCCTCTGTACCCATCTGGCCTGCTCACTCGCTGCTGTTTGTTCATCGCTCCCTACCCCCCCCATCTTCCTTGTCTCCCCTCTCTCGCTCCTCTCCCTTGCCTCCTTGATGCAGGTTCGTGATTCTCGCCCTGACTGGACCCTTTCCGTCACAGAGCCCATCGCTGGGAACTTCTACCCTGTGAGTAGTGCACATCATCTCAAGTGGCATCACTTCTGAAGTTTTGGCTAGAACTCCTAAGGCTTTTCTCCTCAATCCCTTCTTTCTCTCCTTTGATTCTCTTTGCTGCCAGGCTTCCCACTCCTATCCCCAGGTGCAGTGAGGGTATTCATGGGCAATGGGAATGACTAACTGTCTCTACTGGTCCACCAAGCAGCTATAATGGTGAATCACGTTTGCGTCCTCTCTCTTCCCACTCCCATCCACAGGTGACAGTGGGGGCGTTCATAGGCGATGGGGCGGCGCAGCTGTCTCTGCTGGTGGACCGAGCAGCCGGTGCTGCCAGCCTGGCGGATGGCCAGCTGGAAGTCATGCTGCACCGGTGAGCGCACTGTAGCAGCTGGGGTTGCACTGTAGCAGTGGCACCTCAACAGCGTGGTTTTACTGTAGCAGCAACGGATATACAGTGAACGTGGCATCAATGGTTGTAGTTACAGTGAACGTGGCATCATATTGTTAATACTCCACTCCCCTCTTTTGTCCCTTCGCTTTGCTTTTTTTCTTGTCCTTATTCGCCCTTCAGTCGTTTGGATACAGTAGACAACAAGGGAGTCGGAGAGCCGCTAAACGAGGATGTCTGTGTGGAGGATAAGTGCTACCACCTCGTAGTAAGTCTGGCTGCAACTCACGACCTGGGAGCCCTTGACCATTCAACCCTTGAACATACAGCCCTGAGCGTTCTTAGCACTGAAACCCTTTCATCTCGAATGTTCAACCACAACTGCAATTTGTATTTCACACTCCCCCATGCGCTCAGGTGGTGGGGTCTCTCCGCTTCACAGTGTTCCCGGACTCACGGGCACCGCCAGGCACACCGCCGCAGAAGGCATCAGGCGGGGCCGCAGCAGGGGCGTTCTGGCGCAGAGACCACAGCCAGCGGCTGCTCTCTCCTCTGCAACTTGCCTTCGCTGTCGAGGTAAGGCCTTGCATGTGCATGTGGATGAAGGGAAGGGGGGGCAGAGGGGGGAAGAGTTGTTCTGGGGTGGCATGCCGCGCAGGTTGTGTGCGTGCAAGACAGGATGTGCGGACTGAGACAGGAAAGGGCACACATTGGTCACACTCACTGATTGCTGTTGGCCACTGCGGGCCAAACCTGACCACTGCTGGCGAAAACCATTCACCAAAAGCATTCGCCAATATCATTTGCAAAAACCTTTTGCCAAAGACATTCGCCAAAACCATTCGCCAAAACTATTCGCCAAAACCTTTCGCCAAAAACACATGCCAAAACCATTCGCCAATACCACTCGCCAAAACCATTCGCCAAAAGCATTTGCCAAAAACATTTGCCAAAATTATTGGCCAATACCATTTGCCAAAACCATTCGCCAATACCATTCGCCAAAACCCCATCGCCAAAAGCATTCGCCAATACCATTTGCCAAAACCATTCGCCAAAACCATTCGCCAATACCATTCGCCAAAACCCCATCGCCAAAAGCATTCGCCAAAAGCATTTGCCAAAACCATTCGCCAATACCATTTGCCAAAACCATTCGCCAAAGCCATGCGCCAAAACCATCGCCAAAACCATGCGCCAAAACCATCGCCAAAACCATGCGCCAAAACCATTCGCCAAAAGGATACACCAATACCATTCGCCAAAACCATACGCCAAAACCATACGCCAAAACCATTCGCCAAAACCATTCGCCAAAACCATTCGCCAATACCATACGCCAATACCATTCGCCAAAACCATACGCCAAAACCATCCGCCAAAACCATCCGCCAAAACCATTCGCCAAAACCATGCACCAAAAACATCCGCCAAAACCATTCGCCAATACCATTCGCCCAAACCATTCCCCGTAACCATTCGCCAAACGAATTCGCCTAAAACATTCGCCAAAAGCATTCGCAAAAAACATACACCAAAACCATTCACCAAAACCATTCGCCAAAACCACGCTGCTGTCAAACCACAAACCCCCCCTCCCCGTGCACTTTTTTCAACATAGCCCCACACTCCCTTCTCAATATGTCCTTCAACAGAGCCCCACACTCCCTTCTCTTGTTCTTCTGTTCCATTCCTGACGCCCTTGTTCCCATCAGTCTACTGAGGATCTGGCAGCGGCAGAAGCAGAAGCCGCAGAAGCAGAAGCAGAAGCAGCAGCAGCCGCTGCTGCTAGCACCGCTCCGGACCCTTCTGCAGCATCTGTTGATGCTGATTCTGCCAGCGCAGCACCAAAGGGGTTTCTGTGGCGTCACTCCCTCTTCCAAAGCGCTCAGCAGGAGGTAGTCAGGGCAGGGACACGTGGCAGCGCCAGAGGGAGGGCTGCAGCACCCCCCGATGTTTACCAGTTGCCTCGAAGCGTGGCGATTACAACGCTTGAGGTAATGTAGCATGATCTGCATTGTATCATGCACATGTTGAGGTGTGATTGCTTGCGTAGAGGGGTTGGTTGCATCCTGAGGGGGGTCGGTTGCAAACAAGGGGAGCACACATGAACTCCCTCTGCCTGATGAGTATCATACTTCACCTCGGTTGTGCTGTGCTCGCATGTTGATTCCACTTCGTGTTTCTCTGTCTTGTTGCCATGTCTCTTGTGCACGCACAGGAGGTATCACCAGGAGGCATTCTCCTGCGACTGGCACACCTCTATGAGGTATGCCTGCGTACACTGGTCAGCTTGGTTGCCAGTCTGCGACTTCCGTTGAATGTTGCTCTTGGCTGTGGAGTCAGCTTTCTGCTTGTCTGCCTCATCGTACTTAGCTACACAGCCATGTGCAGGAGTAACAAACTTGCATATCTCTAATTTTCCCTCAACCACCCCCTTTCCTCTTCCCCCCCCAACCCACCTCCTCTCGCCCTCTTTCCACTTCCCCCATCGATCCCTGCCTGCATGGTCCTTGCCATCATTCGTTCATCGCTTCCTCCTGACCTTCCATGCGCAGGCTGAGGAGCACCCAGTATTCTCTCGCCTTGCCACAGTGAATCTCAGACTCCTCTTTGCAGGTCAAGAGGTACGTAGGTGGTGTCCATCTTGTTTGAGAGGTGCTGATGGGCATCCTGTCCTGCTGCTCCGAAGTGACTGCAGCTCGTGCAGTGTGGGCTGCACCTGTATTGTTCACTTGTCGTGTCATAAATTGGCCCATTTCCTGCCTCCATCACCCCCCCCCCCCCTTTCTTTTCTCCCTCTATCGCACTGCCGTTGTTACCCCTTAGATTTTGAAGGTGACCGAACTGAGTCTCATGGCCAACCGAGAACGTGCGAGCTTGCGACCACCTTTAACATGGGAGCTTGATGACAGCGATGGAAGTGAAGGTCCGGAGGTGATAATGGGCCAGGCAATAGATAACTCCACTCTTGTGGTGGAACTTGGGCCGATGGAAATTAGGACATTATTTCTCCAACTCACTACTTGAAGCTAGTTAGTTGTCTGCTTTGATGTTTCTGACATGTATATGCAGGTTTGTATGCCTGACGGGGTCGGCCCTCTCGAGTATATTGCAAGGTGCTTTTTGTACCAGCTTTGTGCCCTTTTCCGCGGCAACTTGCTGCCGTGCTGGGCCAGCTCGTCACTCCCCACCGGTTTTTGCGGGCCTCAAACATTGACCCGGGCTGCCAAGTTCAGCCCGCAATTACGGGGTAATTCTTCTGATGTGTCTTTGAGCAGATAGAAACCGAACTCCAGCACGCTGTAAGTGGGGGATGCGTGCGATGGTGTAAGGGCGTGTTTCCAGACACCCTAAGTGTAAGGGTTCTAGGGAAGATGGTGTGGTTTCCAGACACCCCTTGCGGGGTGTTGGCCGGGGCCATGAGAATATACGAAAACGAAAACGGAGCACGAAACTGATCAGGCTAGGAACGAAATTAGTGCACAGGAGGGAAGGGTCAATCTGACCACATTGGTCCTCGCGACCGCGAGTCTCTTTGTCTCGAGATCCTCACTGCTGCGCGTCATCCCCGTCCCACAATCCTGGAGCTCCCTTGCACTTTAGTCAGTTCCCAAGGTCAGGTCCAAGCTAGGTGAGAGGTTAGCTCGGCCATTTCTCATTTCAAGACGCTTAGTTAGTAACGCTGCTGGATAGCATTCAAAAAGGTCAGGCCTGGACCGTTGAGGCCCAGGCTAGCGAATACAGTTCGATTAGATCAATGCTGCGTAGCGGTCAGTCCTCCCCCAGAGTTTCACGATTCCCACTGTCGGATCGCCTAGTCCTAACGCTTGTTTTTCGACGGCTGCAACCCTAAATGTGATCGCGTCTCGGTTTGACGTCTTTAGTTCGTTCCGTAAGCGGTCTTGGTTTGGTCTGCGTGCACCAGACAAGTTGATCATTTATGTCTCCTTGACACAGCTCTATTCAGCTCCATTTAGGGAGATCGTTGCCATGCTCATAATACGATCGCGCGCGTAAAGGACGTAGGAGTTGTACAGCGCGAGGATGGCGGGGCTAGAGGCGGCGCCATCGGCGGGGTATGGCGAGGAGAGGGCGAGGAGCGCCTCTTACCCTCGCGGCGAGTCGGAGCCGGGATCAGACCGAAGGTGATTATTGGGAATAAAGCAGACCCAAGGTGATCGTCGAAAGGATACTAGATGCCGATAGGAGAAGCTCATTGGAGTCTGACGTGTCTACGGAATTGGAATGTCTGCGATGGGCCGACATCGCTGTTCGTGATTTTCTAGTTCTCTTCGTTTCAGATGAATTAGGTTGGGGCATGTCGAGCACGAGATCGCCACAAAGGGGCCCTACCTCACACGAGATCATCCTCCCTTCGTCTCAATCACCTGATTTTGAGGCGCCTAAAAAATAGACTCCTCACGCATGGCGAGCACGAGATCACCACCAAGGGGCCCTACCTCGCGTGCGATCATCCTCCCTTCGTCTCATTCACCTGATTCCTCATGAGCCGACGGATACCGAGCGGGGGCCTATCCACGTCAGCCATAGAGCAGATGCCGAAGGAGGTGAAGCTGATTGGGGTCTAATAATCGAACCCATTCTTCCCTCATCATTTATCTCCTTCCTCAGGAGCCGGCGGAGACCGAGCGGGGGCTTGTCCACGTCAGCGATCGAGCAGATGTCGAAGGAGGTGAAGCTGAAAGGGATGTTACAATCGAAGGCTAAAACACGCTCTCCTCATCCCACTGCCTATCTCCTCAGGAGCCGGCGGAGACCGACGGGGGCCTGTCCACGTCAGCGATCGAGCAGATGTCGAAGGAGGTGACGCTGATGGGGTGGCTGTACAAGCAGTCCAAGTCGCGCCCCTTCGGCCACCACTGGGCCCCCGTGGGCCACCACTGACCAACTTTCGGCCGCCCTGGCCCCTGAGCTCACACGAGATCATCCTCCCTTCGTCCCGTTGTACCCTGCTTCCTCAGGAACCGCCGGAGACCCAGCGGGGGCCTGTCGACGTCGGCCATAGAGCAGATGTCGAAAGAGGTGAAGCTGATGGGGTGGCTGTACAAGCAGTCCAAGTCGCGCCCCTTCGGCCACCACTGGGCGCGCCGCTACTTCGTGCTACGGGCGCAGCGGATCAGCTACTTCAGAAGCCTGCCGTGGCAGCACGAGGTGAGTCCTGGAAGCACGAGGTGACCAGGCCGGGTTAGACATGGTAATGCCCCTTGAGTCGACTCAACTGGTACCGCTGAGTGCGCCGCTACTTCGTGCTGAGGGCGGAGCGAATCAGCTACTCCAAAAGCCTGCCCTGGCAGCACGAAGTGAGTGGGATATACGTGGTTATGATTTTTGAGTCGACTCAAAAGGTACCATTAGGCCCGCCGCTACTTCGTGCTGAGGGCGCAGCGAATCAGCTACTTTCAGAAGCCTGCCGTGGCAGCACGAGGTGGATGGTGGGAGCACGAGGTGCCGAATTGGATGTGGTCGTCTCATGTGGTACTCTGAAGTCGTGGTCGCCCTGCAAACCACGGCATAAGCCCTGGCAGCTCGAGGTTCTCCCTGGAAACGCGAGGTGGGTGGTGGGATGCGGATATGTCTTTGGCAAGGCTTGGCGTGGCGCGTTTCACAAAAGAAATAGGGTTACCCAACAGCCTGCCATGGCAGCATGAGGCGGGGTCCCAGGCCCCCATGGATGTCCCAGAAGTGGTGCTTTCCAAATCCCTGCAAACGGATTACCAATGCCCCCACCCCCCCCCTCCTTCCCTCCCTCCCCGACCCCTTCCCTCCCCCCTTCCCCCCTTCTCCGTGTCCTCCCTGCCACAACGGTCGCGCAGATTGAGTTTGATCCGACGCCCGGACGTCGCGTGGAGGTCACAGGCCGAATGGTCAGTAACTGATGCTACGATATGAGCTGGCCCCGCGCTCTGTGGCATCCCTGTGCTAGGCCCCAGTCAGAAAGGATTTATACCTACTCTCACCCACCCGCACCCTTCCCTCTCCCCCGCAACGACTGCGCAGATTCCAGTGAAGGAGTTTGACCTGACGCCCAGATGCCGCGTGGAGGACACAGGCCGAATTTCCACCAACACTAAGGTCGGACCCGTGCTGCCATAGTTGCTGCTTGTTCTGATGGTGCACTCTTATCAGTCCGGGGACGTCATATCTCATCAGTTGTGGCCGAATTTTGAGGCGCCTCGAAAGTCGCGTCAGAAGTTTTGAGGCGCCTCAAAAGTCATCAGTTGCAGCCGAATTTCCACCAACACTGAGCTCGGACCCTTGGTGGGGTAGATTCTGCCTTGTTCTTTTCCATCTCTTGACTTACTCCTTTTTGGGGTTACTTTTAATAATAGCCTGTGTTTTCACTCTCTTCTATTTCTTTTGGACCTCCTTCAGGAGCTCTACACTTTCTGTATACACCCAGAGCTCCCCAAGCCTTGTTTGGTGAGTTTATACTCGTTGAGAACGCACCTTTTACTGCATGTTGTAGAGTGGTGCATTTGTGAGGCGCCTGAGCACCCATAAGCTCCTCTGACTATGTAGCCCCTCTGGCAAGACGATCTGCAGGCTGTATCGTCTTGTTGTCCAACGCTATCTTATGGTGCTTAATGTTTACCTTAGCATCCGTTTTTGCCTGTTTGTCGTTGGTTTGAACATTCTCGTTTGCCTTGCTCGACTGGCAGCTAACTCTCCTCGTCTTAAGGGCATGTAATCAACTCAATCATCCCTATTTCTCAAATTCTCCACTAGCCAGAGGTCGTGACTGCGTATCGTTTGTCTGCCTCTTGAAGTCGATTCCTGTGCGATTTCTTGTCGATTCTTTAGAATTGGTTAAAAAAAAAAAAAAAAAAAAAAAAAAAAAATCAACCTGCTTGTGCGTTTTTTTGTCCGTCCATCACTCTCGTCTGAATTGACGTGCCCCTCGGTGCTCCAGGTGGGGACAAAGGACCCTGAGCTCGTGGCTGTGTGGATGCAAGCAATCCGAGAGACAATAGAGCATGTAAGCAGCAATAGAGCATTTGCTGTACTACAATTATGCTTTCATGTCGCATGCATGCTTGCACGTCTGCTTTTCCGTTCCCCAGCCAAAACTGCTTGCCGGTTACCACCTTCATTTACAGGTCGGCTTCCCCTTTGCTCCGTCCCCGCTTCTCAGGAATGATGCATCATGATTGTACACTACACCCACCTCCCCTGCTCCCTAAACTTGAGCATTTTACCCGGTCAGGTCGCGGGCTACGTGACCGCAAACGCGTTTAGCGTTTTAAACGCATCGTTTAAACGCTAGCGTTTAAACCCTAAACGCAACTGCTTGAGTTTCTAAACGCTAAGGTAAACGCACTCTCGGGCAGCCGAAAAAAATTCCCAGGGCAGGGTAAAAAAACCTGGGATAGGTAGGGGGAGGCAAGGGGATTATGGCTTACAACATTTTCTCTCCAAATTGTATCACATAAAAAAGTTTTGGCATGTCAAATCCACATGTCAACGAGAACCACATGCACTACCTACTACCACCCTCTAATCAACAGCACCCTCCGTCTACCTTCCACCGCCCTCCTACCCAAAAGCCCCCCATGCTTCTTAGCCGCCGCCGCCACTCCCTCGTCTCCTCCTACTCCTCCTCCTCCTCCTCCTCCTCCTCCCCATACTCGTCCTCGAGCACGGGCTCATCTCCATACTCATCCTCCACTAACTGCCCCTCCTCATCGACGTTGTATCCTTTTGGAATGGGAGCATCCGGGATGTTCCCCGCAAGAACCGCCCTAGTCTCCTCGCTGGTTTTGTGCCAGTTGCGCACAACGTTCCAGTTGTGCGCAACAAACACCAAGTCCCGGCACTTCTCGGGCCCGAGACGGTTGCGGCGTGCAGTGTGCACCGATTCCCACACCGCCCACCCGCGCTCGCAGCTGGATGCAGACACCGGCTGCGTGAGCACACGACACGCGAGCTCTGCCAGCTCGGGGTGGTCGGTCCCGTGCCAGGTCCACCAGTCCTCCATACTTAGACTCCCCTCCTTCACCTTCTGCCGCTGCATTATTGCGTCGGGTTTGCCGAAGGAACCCCTCAGCTTCAGGAATGCAGTCACTCCCTCCCGCAGAACCACTACGGCACTCTTTTCCTTTGCCTCCTTACGATCAATGGTGATGGTGATGCTGTATCGGCCAATGAACTCCTTAAACAGGTCGGTGCACTCCTTGTCGGGGCCAAAGATCTTAGCAACCTGGTTGGCCGGGTTGAGGATCCGGCCAACAGCATGCAGTGGGCAAGCCATGCTGACGTCCCACCGATGCTGGATGATCCCCCCAATCCCCTCCTTATCCTCCGGCGTCAGCTGCAAGTCTTCCTTCTTCAACAGATCAGTCACGTCCACAGTGAGTTTGAGCATGAGCTCATAAATCTGCCCCATCATCCCCTTCGCCGAGGAGTCAGTCGACCGCATCACAAGGTAGGGCAGCTTCTGTAGCTTGACAAAGAACTCAGCTGCTGCCCACCAAGCCTGGTTAAGCACAATGCTCTGGATGGAATCGGCCGCCGCCTTCTGCTTCCCTACGGCCCACGCCTTCCACGTTTCGCCCGCCACCAACACAGTCAGCTTCCCGTGGAGGTCTACAAGCCTCGACACTGCAATGTACTGGGATCCGAACCGGGTGCCTGCTGGCTTCAACAGCTGCAGCACCTTGCCCCTCAGCTCCCCCGGCTCGCGCAAGAAGTTCCTCGTCCAGTGGTGATTGCGGACGTAATTTATCACCTCGTTCGCACCCTCAACCACCCTCTTCGCCCACGCCTGCTTTCCCACGTCTTCCATGAGCAGGTCTAGGACATGAGTGGCGCACGGCACATGCTCAATGTGCGGCCACTCCTCCCTCAACACCTTGCAGGCCTTGCCGTAGTTACTCCCCCCATCCGTGCATAGCGCCACCACATTCGCAGGCCCGATTTTCTGGATGATAGGGCGGAGGATGCCGGCAATGTACCCGCCTGTTTTCGTCTCCATGCGGCAGTCAATGTAGTCGGCAAACATGGCGCCGAAGTCATTGACCAACATGACGTTCGCTTGCGGCCTCCCGCACCGGTCCGTCATCATGTCTGAAGCCACGGTGACGCCATGCCTCTCCCAATTCTGATGAGTGCATCAAGGGCGAGATCGATGCGGGTGCGACACTCCTTCAACCCCGCTCCTCCAATGTACGTGCGTTTGGGCGGCACGTACGTTGTTCCCGCACGAGCGACCGCATGCACGGCATCGACGAAGAGTGGGTGGTCGGCATGACGTTCTGGGATGCGGAGGGCTGCAAACATGAGGCACAATGCCGCATCCGCCTCACGCTTAGCACAAGACGCGCCGTTGCTGAAATATGTAGTTATCTTGCCCCGCTTTCCCCCTCCCCCCACGGCCTCCACCGCATCCGCGACCTCCTTACGCTTCTGGGCCTTGACAGACGCCTTCTCTTCGTATAGTGCCTGCATTGCCTCCCTCACCTCCTTTGGCGCCGAGGGACATTCCTTGACCTCCCGCCACCCCTGTCCTTCCCACTCCGTGAAATGCATAGCGCACCGGTTGGGAATGCCAACAAAAGACAGCCCGCAATAACGACATTCCACCCTAGCCGTGGCAACCCCGGCCTCCTTAACTCTAACTTTGTAATGCTTGTAAATATAATGATTAGACTCTGCCTCGTAAATATTTGACGCTGCAGACGTTGTAGGATTAGCGTCTGCAGCATTAGGGGGGGTCGACATGGGCGTGGGCCCTTAACTTAGCGCGAAATTAGGTGGCCAAGGTGAGTGGGTGTGGGAGATGAGAGAATGACGACTAGATCTGAACTACGGCTATGGCACGCGGAACTCCAGGGTTCCCGTTTCTCATGGGGAAGAGATTGTGATGGAAGAAGGGGAGAAAGTGGTTAGGTTGGAGTGGTCGTAGATGAACAGGGTGCTGTGCGGTTGAGCGGGGCAAAAGAGTTGGATGCGTTTTTTGGTCGCTAGGTTGGGATTTGCGACTTGGTGAATGTCTAGTTGAATTCGCCAGGTCGCAATGTCGCAAAAAAAAATTGGTCGATTTTTTCGTCGGGCTGCCCCAAAAATTTTACCCGAGCGTTTAGCGTTTAAACGCAGCGTTTAAACGCTAAACGCTGCCCCGCCAGAGCGTTTGCGGTCACGTAGGTCGCGGGTACCCGACCCGACCCGCCATTTTTGGCTGGGTCGGGTAATAGGATTTTGACGAATTATCGGCCGGGTCGGGTCGGGTTCTCGGCCCAGGTATTGCGTACCCGTTACCCGAGAATTACCCGAAATGTCGGGTAATTTATTACCCATCGGGTCGCGGGCACCCGACCCGGCTTTGGGTTTGTTACTCCGGGTTTGCTGAATTTTACTGCCACCTAGGGGTACCCGGGTAATATTACCCGACTTCAATTAAATGCGGGTCAGGTATACCCGACCCGCCAGACGGGTACCCAATTACCCGGTATTAAAATGTGGGGTCGGGTAACAGACCTCCAAACATTACCCGTAAATTACCCGACCCGACCCGACCCGGACCCGATCGCGGGTAGGGCAAAAACGGGTCGGGTCGGGTAATTACCAAGTTTTGCTCATGTCTACCACTCCTCATCAGAATGTAGGGCCAACCATCCGGATGCCTCTGACCCGCCCCAGCAGCGCCAACAGCCTGTCGGACGAGGAGGATTGGTCTCTACGCGCTTCAAGCACCCCCCCCCCCCACCTTCTCTTCCCCCTCTCCCCCATGGCAAAATGCAGAATGTGGCGCCAACCATCCGGATGCCTCTGACTCGCCCCACCAGCACCAACAGCCTGTCGGACGAGGAGGGTTGCTCTCTACGCGCTTCAAACACCACCCCCCCCCCCCCACCTTCTCTTCCCCCTCTCCCCCATGGCAAAATGCCAGAATGTGGCGCCAACCATCAGGATGCCTCTGACTCGCCCCACCAGCACTAACAGCCTGTCGGACGAGGAGGAGGGAGAGACACCACCTCACCCCACCATGGCCTCGTGAGTGTGGCGAAATGCCTGGAGGCGCAACTCGACTCAGGCAGCACACAACCGAGAAACGAACCCAATGATGAAACCGAATGGGCCAGACCAACGGCCTGGTTAGATGACTTTCTTGACCCTGACACATCCTCTGTTGTGCGCTCGACTCTACTTTCCTTTTGAGACGTCTCAAAACAAATCTTCCGTCACATAAACCAACGCCCTGGTTAGATGACTTGCTCAGCCTTGACGCATCCTTTATTGTGTGTTCGACTCTGCTTTCCTGCATTCCCCTGCCTGCCGCTTTCCCTCTCCCCAGTCTCATTTCCCTCCACCCATGCCCCATGCCCAATGCCCCATGCCCAATGTCCCATGCCCAATGCCCCATGCCCAATGTCCCATGCCCAATGCCCCAGCCCCATGCCCCGTGCCGCATGCCCCGTGCCCCGTGCCCCCTGCCCCCTGCCCCAAGCCCCATGCCCCCAGACCCCTGCCCCCTGCCCCCTGCCCCCTGCCCCAAGCCCCATGCCCCCTGCCCCCTGCCCACTGCCCCTTGCCCCCAGCCCCCTGGCCCCAGCCCCAAGCCCCATGCCCCATGCCCCACGCCCCACGCCCCACGCCCCAAGCCCCATGCTCCATACCCCATGCCCCATGCCCCATGGGGATGAGATAGGAGGCGACCTGTCCTTTTCTTGCTCCCTCTGTCGCCCCCCTGCTCTTCGTCCCCCATCAACGCCCCTCAATCCCCCCGAAGCCCCAGGTGCCGTGACTCCATGGACAGTGCAGAGCCCTTTGATGCAGAAGAGATGGCGGGAGACGACCTGCCAACACCGCAGCGGGTGCTGCTCGACAGAAGAGGGTCCATCGGATTCGGTAGGTGCCACTCTCTAGGGAAATTCAGCAGGTAGGTCAACTCGGCAGGCAGGTCAACTCGGCAGGTAGGTACTCGGCAGGTAGGCCAACTCAACAGGTAGGTCAACTTCGCTGAGAGGCCAACTCGGCAGGTATGTCAACTGGGCAGGTAGGTCAACTGGGGGCAGGTAGGTCAACTGGGCAGGTAGGTCAACTCAGGTGAGAGGCGAAGGAGGTCTGATCCTCGCCTCCACCATGGTCCTGGCCTCCACCATGGTCCTGGCCTCCACCATGGTCCTGGCCTCCACCATGGTCCTGGCCTCCACCATGGTCCTGGCCTCCACCATGGTCCTGGCCTCCACCATGGTCCTGGCCTCCACCATGGTCCTGGCCTCCACCATGGTCCTGGCCTCCACCATGGTCCTGGCCTCCACCATGGTCCTGGCCTCCACCATGGTCCTGGCCTCCACCATGGTCCTGGCCTCCACCATGGTCCTGGCCTCCACCATGGTCCTGGCCTCCACCATGGTCCTGGCCTCCACCATGGTCCTGGCCTCCACCATGGTCCTGGCCTCCACCATGGTCCTGGCCTCCACCATGGTCCTGGCCTCCACCATGGTCCTGGCCTCCACCATGGTCCTGGCCTCCACCATGGTCCTGGCCTCCACCATGGTCCTGGCCTCCACCATGGTCCTGGCCTCCACCATGGTCCATGGGTACCTAAGTGAAACATGGGTATTGCGCTTCTCTGAAGGTGAGGAGTCTATTTTTGAGGCGCCTCAAAAATAGATCATTTCCCTGTTTTGTTGTGAGCCCCCCTGGACCCCCTTCATGCCTGAATAATGTTCAGACCCCACCCACCCATCACAAGACTTTTGAGTCGACTCAAAAGTCATTTCGTTGTGTGCCCCCCTGGACCCTGTTCATGCCTCAATGTTCATACCCCACCCGTGAGAACCAGGCCCCCCCAGGATCTGGGCGGCATGCTCCAGCAGGCCGTGGTAGCCATGGGTGTGCAATGGGCAGCACAGCGCATAGAGCATTGAGCGATGGATGGAGGTCGCAACCCATGTCGAGTCCTCTGCTGCCATGCCTCTGTATTCTCAGCGCATTGCTTGACATTGTGCTCTCATCCCATCCCCCAGGCCCCCCCCATGGAGCTGGGCGGCTAGTTTTGAGGCGCCTCAAAACCAGACTCCTATCAGCGCACTGCTTGACACTGTGTACTCATCCCATCCCCCAGGACCCCCCATGGAGCTGGGTGGCATGCTCGAGGCCATGGTGGCCATGCGCAGTGCATCAACGGCATCAGGGATCGCATCCGACGGCTCCTGGCGGCTCATCAAGCTATCCAACGGTGGGTGATGGCCTGCATATGAAGCTGGTAATGGTCACCCATCAGTTGTAACAACAATGGTTATCTTCCCATCTCTATTCCTCCCATGCGCCCCATATCCCTGTCATTTGTAGAAGCGTCAACCCTTCTGCCTCTCTCGCCTTCGTTCACCTCTCCTGCGTAAAATCTAACCATCCCTACCATATCTGTACCCGAAATCGGTGAGATTTGATCCGTATCCCGCAGACCTGCGCTTCTTTGAGGAGCTCAACGAGGAGTGGGGACAAGCCGGCATGTGCGGCTTCCTCCCCTGCCTGAGTGCTGTTGATTACTCACCGTCTGTACCACAACCATTGTCTGTTATTCCCGCCCACAGGCCTGCGCTTCTTTGAGGAGCTCAACGAGGAGCGGGGGCAAGCCGGCATGTGTGGCAGCCTGCCCTGCCTGAGTGCGGTGGGCACGGTGGACGCACCCAGCGATGCCGTCTTCAGACTCGTGCTCGACCTCTCCTCCTCCCGCAACGAGTGGGTTTCCTTCTTTTTAGTCGCCCCACAATTCGCACAAGGAATATACCGCTGCGTTTCCTCCTCCTCTTGCCTGGGTATGCCTAGCCTGCCCTGCCTGAGTGCGGTGGGCATGGTAGATGCGCCCAGCGATGCCGTCTTCAGCCTCGTGCTCGACCTCCCGCTGTCGCGCAAGGAGTAGGCCCCCGTCTTGCCGTAACTTGCCATGTGATGCTTATCCTGTACGAGTGCTGCTGGGACGGTGGATGCTTCCAGTTCTGTTGCGTACAGACTTCGCATTACATTCGACGATGCTATCTTCCTTTCTCTCTCCTTCCCCCGTACCTCCCTGTTACATGGTGGGATGTGGGATTCGGCGGTGCTCGTGTGGTGGCGGCCCAAGACGGCCACACTGACCATTACTGCTTCCGCCCGCTGCCCGTCAGCCCCTCTTCCCCTTCATTGACCCATCTCTTCCTCCCTCAATACCTCTCTTGTGCGCCCCACTCAAATAAAGGTGGGACGTGGCATATGGTGGTGCTCGCATGGTGGAGGCCCAAGACGGCCACACGGACTGCATCCACTACCGCTTCCGCCCGCTGCCAGTCGGCCTCGGCCCGTTCACCCTCACAGCGCGCGACGTGTGCCTGCGGCGCTACTGGCAGCGCACGGGCGACGGGTGCTACGTGGTGCTGTACCAGTCGATGGAGCACCCCCTCTGCCCCCCCGTCATGGGGTGTGTGCGTGCCAACCTCACGTACGGCGGCTTTATCATCGCTCCCGCCGGGCCGTCGGCTATCGGGCGATCCGTGGTGATGCATGTGCTTCAGATGGATGCCAAAGGGCTGTTACCGATGTGCTGCGGAGTGGCCACCGAGGTTCATTTTTACCTGCTCTCGAGAGTGGCTGGGATTCGGGAGTTTTTTGCGCAGACCAGGGGGGATTCGCTGGCCGCGCTTCTGGGATTGAGGGAGACGCAGGCTACAGCTGCTGCTACAGCCGCTGCTGTGGCCGCTGCGGAGGGGAGGGAGCGTGAGGGGGGCGGGAGGAAGGCGAGCCGGCGGGAGCGGGAGGATGGGAGGATTGTTCCTATACCAGAGGGGGGTGAAGCAGATGAGCTGGGGCGGTCTGGGAGGAGGGGCAGCAGCGGTGACTTTATCGGGGGTGACTTTAGCGGGGGCAGCGACGCCGGGAGCAGCGTGTCAGAGCCCATGCCTGGTGGTGCCTCGTTTTCAGGCCCAGCATCGGCGCGGGTAGACGCAGCAGCGGCTGCCAAAGCCCTGCTGTCCGAAACCCTCCCGGTCGCCTCCCCCCGGTTCTGGCAGCTAGGGTCTCGGCCCCCCACAGGCTCTAGACTCGCAGGCGCGAGCGGCAGGATAGCAGGGGCTGTGGACCCGTGGGCGTGGGCGTACAAGACCGGGAATTTAGCCCGGGGATCGCCGATGGGGGGGATTAATTGCTGGAGCGAGGCAGAGGTGCGGAACTTTACAGTGCGGTCGAAGAGCTATTTGACGGATAAGATGAAGCAGAGCGCGGGGCAGCCGGGGATGTCACTGGTGGCTGTGGACTGGCTGAAGCGGGTGGAGCGGATCGACCATGTGGTGGAGCTCAAACGGACGCCCGTGCATGTGAGTGTTGCCTTGCATTGTGAGGGTTCTGCTGCAGCGTGACTGTGGTTCGTACTGTAGAGCTTTGAGTTCTCAACGGCTCGTGGCTGTGGATTGGCTCAAAGGGGTGGAGTGGATTGACCATGTGGTGGAGCTCAAACGGACGCCCGTGCATGTGAGTGCGCCCGTGCATGTGAGTGCGCCCGTGCATGTGAGTGCGGCCGTGGATTGTGAGTGTGCTCTCGCATTGTGAGTGTGCTCTCGCATTGTGAGTGTGCTCTCGTGTTGTGAGTGTGCTCTCGCATTGTGAGTGTGCTCTCGCATTGTGAGTGTGCTCTCGCATTGTGAGTGTGCTCTCGCATTGTGAGTGTGCTCTCGCATTGTGAGTGTGCTCTCGCATTGTGAGTGTGCTCTCGCATTGTGAGTGTGCGCTCGCATTGTGAGTGTGGTCTCGCATTGTGAGTGTGCTCTCGCATTGTGAGTGTGCGCTCGCATTGTGAGTGTGCTCTCGCATTGTGAGTGTGCTCTCGCATTGTGAGTGTGCTCTCGCATTGTGAGTGTGCTCTCGCATTGTGAGTGTGCTCTCGCATTGTGAGTGTGCTCTCGCATCGTGAGTGTGGTCTCGCATTGTGAGTGTGCTCTCGCATTGTGAGTGTGCTCTCGCATTGTGAGTGTGCTCTCGCCTCGTCACAGCCACGCATCCTTGCCTCCTCCTCTGCAACCCAACGGGCCTCCATAGCACTCCTCTCCCACCACCCCAATGTATCTCCCCTCATGCTCTCCTTGACCCCCCCATCCCCCAACAAATCCTTGGACATCTTCCAGTGAGCGCGGCGTCAAGAGACGGGTTAGCAAGTAGGAAAAACAGTAGAAAAACGATGCTTATGTAAACGTGAGTTTGGAGGAGTCGGAGCTTATCTCCCCTCATGCTCTCCTTGACCCCCCCATCCCCCAACAGGGCATCCAGGAGATGATGGTCAGCAAGGACGCCTCGTGGCGGCCATGCACCCTTGCCTCCCTCCCTGCAACCCAACGGGCCTCCATAGCACTCCATGCCCTCATAGCACTCCATGCCCTCATCGCACTCCATGCCTCGTCACATAGCACTCCATGTCCTCATCTCCTCCCATGCAACCCCCCCATGACCCCATACGTCCCCATGCCCCTCCAACAGGGCATGCGGGAGAGGATTGTCAGCAAGGGCGCCTCGTCGCGGCCATGCATCCTTGCCTCCTGCCCCAATGTACCTTCATACGCATCACTGACTCTCCTCATGATATCAACTACTCACCATCCCCCCAACAGGGCATGCGCGAGATGATGGCCAGCAAGGACGCCTCGTCGCGGCCATACTTCTTCATTGTGAATATGCAGGTCAGTGTTATGATGTTCGGTTGTCGGTGTTACAACGTTTGCTTGTCGTTGTTACGATATCTGTTTGCCAGTGTTACAATGTTCAGTAGTCAGTGTTAAGCTGTTGAATTGTCAAAGTTACGGCCCGAGCTACTAAATGTAGGAGGTCAGTTTGTTTCGCAGTTGTCGCAGTTGACAGTCACTAGATGTAGCTTGATGCTGCGATTGAATCTCCGTATTCCTTTCCCACGTCTGTTCCCCATGCCACCAGGTGCCAGCAGCACAGCAGTACAGCATGGTGCTCTACTGGGCCATGGAGTAACAACCAAGGGACCTGTCTTGTATTCCTATCTTGTGTTCTCTCCCCCATGAACCACTTACACCTCCAGGTGCCAGCAGCGCAGCAGTACAGCATGGTGTTCTACTGGGCCATGGAGGAGCAACCCACGGATTCATCCATTCTGGGGCAGTTTATCGACGGGGATGACATCTTCAGGAACACGCGGTTCAAGCTCATCCCTCGCATCCACCAGGTGCGTGCTTGTGTTGGCCATGTTGCATCCACCAGGTGCTTGTGTTCAAGCTCATTCCATACATCCACCAGCTGTGTGCTTGCAGTTTCCTCTGTTCCGCTCACAAATGGCATTCGTCCTCTGCTTCACGAGTGCAGTGTGGCTCCTTGCTGTGTGGCTGTATGCCCATGCATGGCATGGCAGTATGAGTGGTTCGTGAAGCGCAGCGATTGTTGAGTCATTCAATTGTCATCTGGGGTCGTGTGTGACCGTGCATGGCAGGGTGCGTGGGTGGTGGAGTGCAGCAATTGTTCAGTTGTCTCAATTCTCATCTGGGGCTGCTGTGTGAATGTGTGACCGTGCATGGCAGGGGGCGTGGGTGGTGAAACGGAGTGTGGGAACGACCCCGCTCATCATTGCGGGCGCTCTCACTGTGCAGTATTTCAAAGGACCCGACTACTTTGAGGTACAGAATTGTGCTGTTTTGCTGTGATTATAATGAAAACCAATTTTCCACACTTTCTGCATTGGGACCCTGCATTGGGACCCTTACAGGTTGATTGACTGCTCTCAGGTCAGGACGAGTTAAACATCTCTTGGATTGTTCTCGTCTCACACCACATCCTCCCAATACAGGTGGATGTGGACATTGGGTCTTCAGCTGTGGCCAATGGGGTGGTGCGCTTCGTGCTTGGATATGTCCGGACACTCATCATTGACATGGCCTTCCTTATCCAGGTATTGTACTTGCCTAACCTGTATGACAATGACATCTGTTCGCTGATTTCATCATTTATTTGTTGATGGTGCTTTGCAAGAAGTTGCTTATAATGGATTATATCTCGCAAGTCCCTTTACTTGCAGGGGAACACGGAGGAGGAGCTTCCGGAGAAGCTTCTTGGAACCATCCGCATCTCGCATCTAGAGCCCAACGCGGCATTAGACTTGGACCTTGACAATCCGGAGCCGCCCCTTCATCATGCGTCTTCGAATGACCATGCATCTTAATTGTAAAGATGATGTTATTGGCATTTATTTCGTTTTCCCTTCCCTCAATATTGTCTGGAGAGGTCGGATTAGGTTCCGTTTCTTCTCAGGTGTCCACATGGCTGCACAAAAGGTCCATTATCACACACTGAAACGAATACAAGGTTTTTTTATGGATGAGGAAACTTGTATCGCGTCGTACTGTGTGCGGCTCAACCTCTGTCGAGTCCACCATGCTTTGGGAGATAATGCCTCAGGACAAATCAGCTTACAGTGACGGCGGTTACGCCATCATTCTCAACTAAGCGACACGTACCTCGATTGTCCTTAGTGCCCTCGAGAGCGGCCCTTTGCGGAGTAACCGTATCTGCGCTCGCTCTGCGTCCTCCACGTGTAAACAAGTTTCCCGAACTCTTACGCACTGTTCCACCACGTCAGCACCATACCTCTCCACCCCATCCCCCCCATCCCCCCCCATCCCCCCCATCCCTCCCCTTTCCCCCTTCCCCCCAATCCGCAATGCCTCGCAACGCAATGCGACACGGCGCGAGTCAACACGCCGCGTCTCGAGATTCTAGCTTCCGAGTCAATCATAACCGGAAAACGCGCGGTAGAGTAAAAATAAGTACAGTACAGTCCAAACAACTCCCAACGAGTCGCGAATGGATCTGGCTGGAAATGTGGGACTGGGGAGGGACGGGTGACGGGTGATGCACACAGACTGTCATTCCGACCGAATTCCGAATTCCGATTCCCGATTCCCCAATCATGCGGAGCCCGCGTGTGGTGCTCCAAGATACACCCCCCGCGACGTCCGCACTTAGGGTTTCGTTCGTTTCGATGTGTGTGATCTCAGCGACGGCAGGACCCTCTCGCGCCAGCTGGCGGAAGAGCCCTCTTGCGCCAGCTGGCGCCAGCGACGGATCATCGTGATTGCATCGTGCGCCAGCTGGCGCATCAACAGCGCCACCCGGGCAGAGATCTAGTATAAAATTCGTTCGGTAAAACCGCATTTCGTAGTAGGAGAGGAACCGCGACTCCGCGGGCAATGCTGCGATGCATGATCGCTGCCCCCAGCGGGCTCCGGCTTCCCCACTGGAAAGGGGCGCGCAGTCACTCCCGCCGCAGCAATCGGCGGTCAACGCAGTCAACGCGGCGGTCAACGCGCAGCACTCGGCCAACGCATTCAACGCGGCCGTTAATCGTGCACAACAGTCGCCGGTCAACGCGCAGCAGTCGGTCGATGCAGTCAACGCGGCGGTCAACGCCTTCAACGCGGCCCATGCCGCGCCGAGTTCACTAGGGGCAGGGAGCGGCGGGTACGGCTCGCTCGGAATGCCGTACGATCAGTTCCGCGACATCCAGCGACTATGGGAGTCGCAGGGGTCGCAACGTGCTGTGGCACAACAAGACGCCAGGACGAACAACGGTCTCCAGGGGCAATCAACTGGGCCCTTTGGCGGAAATATCTCCGGGGGGGGGTTATTCTCTCCGTCAGGGGGTATGGTGGGCGGAAGGGGTGGCGGAATGGCGGGGGTAGGCAGTGTTAGCGGAAGCATTGGCGGAATGCAGGGCGGAGTTTCCGCGTTTGCGCTGCCTGGCGGATTAAGCGGGGCTCCAGGCGTGGGGGGCGGAAGAATCTCCGGAGGTGCAGTAGCAGGGGGAGGGGGAGCGGGAGGATCGTATAACGGGGACAGGGCAACGATAGGCGCAGGGATGGCGGGGGGAAGGCTGGAGAGACTACTGGCGGAGGCGTTACTCGGGGGAGGGCCTTTCCAGATGCTGGCAGGGGGAGGTGCTTTCCAGCACTCTACAGCTCCCCCGGTTTCACCTACAGGCAGGGAGGTGGGATCTGGTGCAGGCGGCAACTTGGCGTTACTGGAGCTGCTGACAATGTCAGGCCTGTCTAACAACCGCACAGTACCGAGCAGCACCGGGAGCGGCTACCATAGTAGTGCTAACCCACTAAACAGCACTAACCTGACTTACGCTGGTACAGGGAACTCACCACAGTTTTTTGGCGGGCAGCCCGGGCAGGTGGCAACGAATTCCGACTCCAGAACCCCGAATCCCGGGCAGCAAGGAACAAGAGGCTGGCTTGGCCCTGCGGGGTTGGGGGGGTTGAACTTGGAGGGGGTAACAGCGGGTGAGGGGCTGGGGGTATTGGCTGGCCGGCACAACCTGGCTGCAGTATTGGCTGCTGCAGCCGCCGCTGCTAGCGGTGCCGATGGGGGGTTTTCGGGGTTTGGGCTCGGGGGTGGCGGTGTGGGGGGGGGATATGTGAGCGGGGATGTCGTGGGCGGGGGCTGTGTTAGCGGTGGTGGGGGTGAGGGGGGAGGGGGAGCGGGCGAGATGGCGGAAGGGGAGAGCGATGGGGAGGGGTCGGGGGAGGAGGAGGATGGGGGGGATGGTGGGCCTCGCACCAGCACCAACGCCAAAGGGCAGTGGAGCCCGGTAGGTGACTCCTACCCCTGCCCTGCAACGCAGATGACTCCTTCCCCTGTCTTCCGCTTCTCTCTCTGCAGCTCACCTGAAAGGCCTTTCTTGTTGACTTACGTCTCACCACCACCCACCGTACCTCCCGCCCCCCCCCTCCTTCCCCTCTTCCTCATCCTTTCGATCCCCTTCCCCCTCTCCCCTCTCCTCCCCCTTCCCCCACGCGCAGGAGGAGGACGACATTCTGAGGCGCCTGGTAGAGCGGGGAGGGGCGCGGCGCTGGTCCGCCATTGCCGCGCACCTAAAGGGGCGCGCGGGGAAGCAGTGCCGCGAGCGGTGGCATAACCACCTGAAGCTGGGAATCAAGAAGGACGCGTGGACGGAGGAGGAGGAGGAGACGTTGATTGAGGCGCATAAAAGGGTGGGGAACAAGTGGGCGGAGATTGCGAAACTGCTCCCCGGGAGGACGGATAACAACGTGAAAAACCACTGGAACTCCACTGTGCGGCGAAAGGAAGACGTGGGGAGGTGCGGGGGGAAGGTGGGCGGGCGGCCGACGCTGCTGCTGCGGTATATCCAGTCGTTGAAGGTGGGGAAGGAGGGGGGAGGGGGGAAGGGCGGGAGTGGGGGGAAGGGCGGGGGAGGAAAGGATGGGGATGGGGGGAAGGAGGAGGCAGGGGCCAAGGAGGGGGGTGGGGATGAAGAGGGAGAGGGGGGAAAGGAGGGAGAGGAGGGGGAGGAGGGAGAGGGGGGAAAGGAGGGAGCAGAGGGAAAGGGAGACGTAGAAAAGAATGGAGAGGAAGAAACGCGGGGCGAGGGAGGGGAAGGAGGGACGGGCGAGGAAGGAGAGGGGAAGGCGAGGGTTAAGGGAGAGGAGGAAGAAGGAGAGGGGAAGGCGAGGGTAAAGGGAGAGGAGGAAGAAGGAGAGGGGAAGGCGAGGGTAAAGGGAGAGGAGGAAGAAGGAGAGGGGGATAAAAATGAGCAGGAAGGGGAGGAGGAGGGGGATAGAAAGAAAGATGGTGGTGGGGGTGGGGATGGAGAGGATAAGGCGAGGGCAGGGGAAAGGGAACCACCAGCTGGGGAAGCCGTAGTGGGGGTTGGGCACTTGGGATCGACGGCAGACGAGAGAAAGGCAGGAGGGAAGGGAGAAGGAGAGGAGAGGCCAGGAGAGACGGTGATTGGGGAGAAGGAAAGGGGGGAGCGGATGGAGTTGGGAGGTAGGGGAGGAGAAGGGTCAACGGTGGGTGCAGCAGCAGCAGCAGCAGCAGCACAGGGGGGCGGCAATGGCGTAGGGGAAGGCAACGATGCTGCTAGGGGGGGGTCAGAAGGGAGGAGGGAGGTGAGGCGGTGTCAAGTGGAGGGAGAGAGGGGGACGCGGATGGAAGAAGAGGAGCGACCTGTAGGGGAGCGGACAGCTGAGGGGTCAAAATCAAAATATGGCGGGAAGAAGGAAGGGAAGGAGAGACGCGAGAGGAGGAGAGCAGGAGGAAGGACAACCAAGGGCGGGGACACAGGTGAAACGGCGGCAGAAGATACCGCCATGGAGATCGATGTGAGTGGGGGGGAGTCCATTGAAGAGAGTGGGAGGGGGGGAGGGGGGGATATTTTGTAGGCGCCTCTAAAACAGACTCCTTACACACGGTGGCAGAAAATACCGCCATGCAGACCGATGTGAGTCGGGGGAAATCCATACACGGGTGAGAGAGAGCAAGAATGGAAGGTTCGGACAGTAAATGCAGATGCTTATCACTTGGTGCTGCAGCCTTCTCGACCCTCCTATCCGTCCTGGCTTCAGACTTTACCCTGGATCTTTTCTCTCTTGAGTCGACTCAAAAGTTTACCCTCGATCTTTCTCTTTTGAGTCGACTCAAAAGTTTACCCTGGATTTTTTGCTCTCTTGAGTCGACTCAAAAGTTTACCCTGGATCTTTTCTCTTTATCCCTTTCTGCCTCTCCTTCGCTCCTGCAGACTGACCGTGTCATCTCCCGCAGTAGCAGCCTTCCCCGGTGGGGCTCATCAGCCGCAGAAGGGGCAGCAGATGCAGCAAAAGCAACAGCTAGAGCAGCAGACACGGCAGCAGCACAACCAGCGTCAGCTAGAGCCAAATCCGCAGCTGCATCTTCCACACTTTCCCATTCCTCAAGCGACCTTCCGCTCTCCCCTCCCCCCTCCCGTCTCCCCCGCAAAGCGTTCTCCCTCCCCCGCGCCCCCCCCTCCCGCCTGTCCTCCTGGCCCCCTTCCCGCTCCCTCCCCACAGCCACTGCCACCACTGCTGCTGCTGTTGCCTCTGCCGCTGCTGCTGCTGCTGCAACAGCTACTGCTGCTGGGGCGAACGTATCTACTCTGTCAAACAGAGTATCTGGCGTGGCTACGGCAGGGGAGAGGGACAGGGAGACAAGCGCATGGCTACAGCACGTCCCTGTGGTTGACCCTGGGAGGCAGCAGCCAATCGAGGGATACACCTCTTTGGGGCAGGCGCCTTCAGCCCAAGCCTCTCTAGGACAATCGGCGCTAGGAGGAGGAGGATTGTCTGCGGGGCAACTATCGCTAGGCCAATCCTTGGGTGATCAGCGGGATTTGGCGAGGGCTATGCTACAGCTGGACGCGCTTTCCTCAGCAGGCCTCCTCATGGGCCTCCCTGCCGCTGCTACCGCTGCTGCCGCTGCCGCTGCTGCTGCTGCTGCACCGCCCTCCGCTCCCTCTGCTGCTCCTTGTTACTCTGCTCCCACTCGCGCCCCCTCTCCCTCCCCCTCTACTGTCTCCTCTCCCCGATCCGCCCCTTCTTCTCGCCCTCCGCTTCCTCCCTTTCCTGCCTCAGCACCGCACTCCACTGCATTCCATCGCTCTTTCTCCACTCCTCATGGCAACAACCCCAGTTTCTCCCACACCCCATCAACTCTCCCCAATCCATCCCCCATTCCCTCCTTCCAGCCTCTTAGTCCCTACCTACACTCCTCCTCCTCCCTTCCTCTCTCCAATCCTCCCTCCTCCCTTCCTCTCCCCTCCTCCTCTTCTGCACTCGCCAGTCACCCCCTCCCTTGCCTCTCTCGCTTCGCCACTGTGTCTGCCTCCGACCAATCAGCAGCCGGCGCCTTGGCCGGCCGGGCAGCTGAAATTGCGAGTGGAGTGCAAAACCTTTTTGATGCTCTCATGCGCTCCGAGATCCTCCCCGCCTCCCCCTCTCCTTCACTCACGCTTCAGCCATCTACTTCCGAAGGGGCTCATAGATCCACACAAATGCCCCAATACTCACACGCCCCCCTCTTCTCCTCACAGCCCCCCCTCTTCTCCTCCCTTTCCCTACCCCTGTCCTCCTCTGCCTCTCTATCTGGGGCAAGGAGGCCAGGAGCAGCAGGAGGGGAGGTAAGGGCGTCCAGTGTTCCGACCGGGGGACACAGAGTGGGAGGCGGTTTGTGGGTTGGCACCAGTGGCAGCACCAGCTGTGGCAGTAGTGCTGCTGCTGCTGCTGCCTGTGCTGGTGGGGATGCGGCTGCTTCTGGCAATACTGGCAGCGCTCTCGTCATCGGGACAGGGGGCGTGTTGCTTCCTTCTCCACCGCTCCAGCAAACTCGTACTCCTCCTTTTCCTCCTGCATCCGCCGCCGATGGCGCTGATAGCGGTGCTGCTGCTTTTGCTGGTGGTGGTAATCCCGGCACGGCAGCAGGGAGAGGAGGTACCTTTGTTCACCTGCCCGATTCCTCTCAGCTGCCTGATTCCCCTCAGCTGCCCGATTCCTCTCAGCTGCCCGATTCCTCTCAGCTGCCCGATTCCTCTCAGCTGCCCGGTTTTTCTCAGCTGCCCGGCTTTTCTCAGCTGCCTGATTCCTCTCAGCTGCCCGATTTCTCCCAGCTTCCGAAATTCTTGACACAAGAGCAACTGGCTCTACTGAAAAAGGCACGCACCTTCCTCACAACCTCTTTAACTTCCTTTCTTCCTTCATCTACCTCCCTTGATCTCCTCCCTTGATCTCCTCCCTCGATCTCCTCTTGATCTCCTCCCTTGATCTCCTCCTTCGAACTCCTCCCTTGATCTCCTCCGTCCTCCCCCCCCCTTGCCCGGTTATCTCGCGCTGCGGCGTCCGATCTCCACTATATACCCTTCATTCTTTCCCTACCGTCAATCATCCATCGCCATTCACACCTTCTCCCGTACTCACTCTATCCTCGTCCAATCTCTTCCCATACCCACCCTTCACGCAGTGGCTCGAGGGGGGTGGTAGCGGCATTGGCATGCAAGGCCAGGGGGGATCAAAGGTGACTACTGGTGCACCTGGTGACTTGGGCACGACTTGTGACCTGATTCAGAAGCCAGCAGAGGGGTTTTCTGCCGCTGCAGCAGTGGGACCTTCTGCGGCTGCAGCTGGCGCCCCAGAGGGGACCCTCAGAGCTCCTCAGGACACAACGGGGATAGGGGCAGGGTGCTTTCGGACTCCTCGAGGCAGACCGGCGGTATCAGCTACAGGGCAGGGCGCTACAGCCGTTACTGCACCTGATTTTGTGTCGACTCAAAGACAGACTCCTCGAGACAGGCTGGCAGCTTCAGCTAGAGGGCAGGGCGCTACAGCCGTGAGTGCACCTGATGCCTTAGGGGATTGTTTCAAGGTTCTTCAAGACACAGCAGGGAAGGGGGCAGAGAGCTTTCGGACCCCTCAGGACAGACTGGCGGCTTCTGCCGCTGCTGCTGCGGGTGAGGAGGTTCAAAGCGAGGAGCGAAGCGAGGTCCAAAATCTGCAGCGCAGTGAGCTAGAGAAGGGGTCCCAGAAATGCCAGCAGCAGCAGCTGCAGCAGCGGCCGCAGCCGCAGCAGCAGCAGCAGCCGCAGCCGCAGCCGCAGCCTCAGGAGGAGGAGGAGGAGCGGGAGCAAGAGCAGCAGGAACGAGGGGAAGCAGCAGCAGCTACTGCAATGGATGTTGACGATGCAGCAAAGCCTGGCACGTGTGGTGGAGAGAGCGATGCCAACGAGAACGAGAGCGCGAACGGGGGAGGTGGTGTTGAGAGTTCGAGGGCAGTGCGACCGGCAGAGAAGGAACAGGCAAGGACGGAGCAGGAAGCAGGGAGCAGAGCAGTGAGGGGCGGAGGTGGGGCCGTGAAGGGAGGGGGGCCCATGGAGGGTGGTGGGGGCAGGGAGGACGGTGGGGGCATGCAGGGAGTCAGGAACCCTGTTGCTCGTCGAAGCTCCAGCGATGATGGCAGGCCAGGTTCGGAAACAGGTTTGGAGAGGAGATCCCCTCGCCCGGAGCAGCTGCTGGTGGTTCGGCGATGGAATTCCGGGAGAATAGGCAGTGGAACGGAAAGGGGGAGCTTGAGCAGCTGTCGATCTGGAACGTTGATTTCAAAGAAGCGGCCAATCACAAGCGTTGATCCGAGCACCCCTAGTCCGCAGCATCAGAGGGAGCTGAATCAGCAGCAGGTGAAACCACACATATCACAACTGTACCATCAACATGAGCAGCAGCAGCAGCAGCAGCAACACCAACAGCAGCAGCAGCAGCAGCCGCAGCAGCAGCAGCAGCAGCAGCAGCAGCAGCAGCAGCAGCAGCAGCAGCAGCAGCAACACCAACAGCAGCAGCAGCCGCAGCAGCAACAGCAACACCAACAGCAGCAGCAGCAGAAACAGCAGCAGCAGCAGCAGCAGCAGCAGCAGCAGCTGCTGCATGAAAAGGCCCAACAAAGCGAAAACCAGGACGCCCCACCTTCAAGACCCATGCGCAGCCGTCCCATGCTCAGGCGAAGCGTGGCAGGGCCCCTACCAGGCGCGCCTGTAGCAGTCATCGACGGCACAATCCAATTGGTCGGCGATCTCTCTCTCTCTCTCGACTCCTGCGGTAACTTCCCTCCTCCCTCCTCCATCTCCACTTCCTCCTCCCCTCACCCGCTCTCCACCTCGGCTCCCTTCCCCACCCGCGGTGCCGCCCCCCTCTCTTCCAACCCCCTCGTTTTGTCTGCATCGCCCCATCCCAGCCCGTCCCCTGGCGCGGCGGCTCGGCCTTGGGGTATGAAGTCACCATTACCAGGTGAAGCACCTCAAGAGCCGTCTCCCAAGGTGGCAGCTCGGCCTTGGGGTATGAAGTCACCATTGCCGGGCGAGGCGGTTCAAGAACCGTCTCCTGGAGCGGCGGCTCGGCCTTGGGGCGTGAAGTCACCATTACCGGGTGAATCACAAAAACCTACATCGGCGTTTAAAGCACCTCTGGAGCCGTCTCCCGGTGTTGCCGCCCAGGCTTGGGGCATGAAGTCACCCTTACCAGGTGAGTCCAAGGATGCTGCAGTGCCTTCATCCTGGAGTGAAGCTCTCAAAGCTAAAGCAGGTCTTGCAAAGGCAGCAGGGCCTGCGTTGCCTATGGATCAGCCCAGGCTAGACTTGATGGGGGAAGGTGGTGATAGCACGCCGCAGGGAGCAGAAGGAGCAGAAGGAGCAGCATCGCCAGCTGCTGTTCGTGCAGAATCAGCAGTAGCAGCTGAAGTTTCTCTCGAGTCGAGTCAAAAGTCGCCTGCAGGAGTAGCGGCAACAGCCTGGGGTGCAGATGGTGTGGCACGGAGAGAGGCAGCAGCTGTCGCACAGGTGGTTAGGCAGGAGGTCGAAACGGCTGCTGCTGCTGCTGCTGCTGGAGGAACAGGAGAAGGGGGGAGAGTCTTAGCAGAGGGGGGCACGGCACTCGATGGTGCCATAGGAAGGTCAAACAGCTTGGCCCGTAGAGAGGGAGCAACGCCAGCACTAGCAAGACCGCCAGCACTAGCACCAGCTCCTCCATCTGTGTACCACGTGAGCCCAGCCAGTCCAGCCAAGCGCACCCTCCGGCACAGCCAGTCAGCTCGCCTTCCTCCTCAGGACCGCCCACGATTCTCCCCTTTCCTCCGGAGCTCCAGCTTCGGCTGCCGGACCGGAGCACCAGGTTCGACCCAAGACGGAACGGGAGCAAGGTTGGAAGATTCGGGTTTGGGAGCGGGAAATAACGGGGCTCAACCAAACCCGTTGGAGGGGTCAAAGGTTGAAGGGACAAGGGAAGCTGTGTGGTCCAAGTGGTCCGGCCGAGAATGGAGTGGGAGAGGAGGGGGGGGTCAGCTTGCGAGCGTGAGCGAAAACAATACGAATCAGGCCATTGTGAATGAGAGAGACGTTATTCACTATGGAGCAAGAGACGGTGAGGCCTCGGGAGGCAATGCGGGGGATGGCGGTGGTGCAGCTGGTGCTGGACTCGCTGCTTCTCTTGGTGTGTCTGTGAGTGGCGGATGTGGTATTGAGGATGAGTGCGGAGGAGAGGGCAGAGGGTGGAGGGACCTGGCGGCACTTATGCAAGCGCAGGAGGAACAGCAGCTGGATGGGCAAGGGCAGCATCTACGGCACGGGCAGCAGGATAGTCAGCAGCAGCAGCAGCAGCAGCAGCAGCTGGAGGAGCAGCAGGAGGAGGAGGAAGAGGAGGAGGAGGGGCAGGAAGAGGAGGAGCGGGCACCATCAGCAGCACCACAACAGCAGCAGGAGGTGCCAGAGCAGGAGGTGCCAGAGCATGAGGTGCAGGCACATCACGAGGTGTATGAGTACATGGGCGTGCAGTCAAGCCTCTCCGTTTTCACCATCAGCCGCAGCAGCAGCAGCAAGCTGTGCGAGCCACCCTCTAATCCCCCTGCCCAGCCACCCTCTGCCTTGCTCCATGATTTCGACCCGCAGCAGCTTGTTGCAGCAGCATCTGAAACGCCCGAACTGGCCCCACAACCAACAGACGCAGCAATGGCAGAAGGCCTGTCGGTAGCAGATGGCTCAGCAGCAGCAGCAGTGGCAGAGCCTATTGCACCTCTTCACGAGGCAACGATTGGACCCATGAGTACACCTGTTGAACATGACCCAGAGGCTATGGCTCATGGCGCATCCCGCAATGGTCCTGATGTGGCAGCCGGACCCACACCTTGCTCTGGTGCAAATGCTGGCGCCGCATGCGCTGCTCCGGCTGCTGCCTTCTCTCCAGCTGCACTGGCTGCTTCTCCTGCTGCTGCTTCTTCTGCTTCTTTAGCGCCCTCACCCATCGCAGCATCTCCAGGCACAGACACTACGCCCAACACCACCAATGCAGCCTCATTCGGTGTTGCTTCTCCCGTGGCTACCTCAGCCTCGGCTGCCTCTGTTCCCCGTGCCTCACCATTCGGCCCAAGTCCCACTGGTCTCTTTGCTTCGCAGTGGACTCTCCCCGACCTTCCCCACAACACTTACGCAAACCAGCACATCCCAGCCGTTCCGAACCTTCCAGACGTGCTGCCGAACCTCCCGAATGGCCCACCGAACCTTCCGAACGTACCTGACTTCACTCATCCTTCCATGTCTGACCTTGTAGCAGGGTGGTTTTCAGGTGCCAGTCCAGGTGTGACTATGCAGCAATGGGGCTCTATGGGAGGGTTAGGCACAGGGATAGGAGCAAGCCCAGGTGTGACTGTACAGCAGTGGGGCAGTATAGGAGGGGTAGGCTCAGGCATCGGAGCCAGTCCGAGTGTGACTATACAGCAGTGGAGCTCAATGGGAGGGATGCGCCCAGGAGTAGCAGCCAGCCCAGGTGTGACTATAACGCAGTGGGGCTCGATTGCAGGTGCCAGCCCAGGTGTGACTGTACAGCCATGGGGCTCTACAGAAGGCGCATCGGCAGTAAGGGCAGCAGCTGGGGCCGCTGGAGGGTCTGTTACTGCAGTGGCGGCAGGTGCCAGCCCAGGTGTGACTGTACAGCCATGGGGCTCTATTGAAGGGGCAGCAGGGCCAGGAGCAAGCCCCTCCGGAATAAATCAGCAGACTTGGAGCTCCACAACAGTACCTGCAGCAGCAGCAGCTGTTGCAGCAGCAGCAGCAGCTGTTGCAGCAGCAGCAGCAGCAACAAGTGGGGGAGCAGGTGCAGGAACAGGACCAGCAGCAAGGGGCATAACACCAGCCACAGCGCCGGCAGCAGCATCAGCCACCCTACCGGGTCTGGGGTTGTCTCTGGAGCAGCTGCTGCAGCAGGTGAATCCATCCTCGTTACAAGACGCGAGTTCGATAATAGACGCACTCAGCTTCCAAGCTTCTGTCGCCGCTTCAGCTGGACACCTCGGATTTCCGTTCTCTACTGCCAGTATGCCCACTTCACAAGGTCCAGCTGGTGGAGGTACCATCTGTGCAGGTTCTACTGCTCCTGCACCAGCTGCCACCACTGCCCCTGCCGCTGCTGCTACTGCTGCAGCTTTCCCTGCTGCTAGCACTGCTAATGCTGGAGGCAATGGTTTTGCTATGGAGGAATCGGGTGCGGCTTGTGAGCCCATGGAGCTGTAGACACAGTCGTAGACATGGGCTGTAGCACCCCCTCTTAGTGGTGCATGCCTTATTGCATCCTGATCCCGTGCACCAGGACATTCAAATATATTTCCTGTGACATGATATGCCATGGCATGTCGTGCCGGTGGCTCGACATTGCATTGCTTTCCTGTGCATTGCTAGAGCGTAGTGAGTTGACTGTACCATAGCCTCCGTTTGTGACTGTCTCACCCATTGCTTGCAACACACGTTAAGGCACTGTCAGTCAACGCACTGTCAGTCAACCTCCAAAATGAATGCAAGCATCACTATGTGTACAGAGCTGGAGCACCATACAACCTCCACCTGGCTGGCCACTACACAACCTCCACCGGACTACATTTGCGACCTCTGCACACAAACCATCCCTTCATGCCGAAACTCCCAGGGTGCTCTTCCTGATAATCCTAGTCTCCCCCTTCTCGTCTCTCTGCTGCCTAGTTCTTCTGCTCTGTCTGCTTCCCTGGCTCCTGCTGCTTCACTGGCTCCTGCTGCCAGTGCCGGGCAAACGTCTCGGCTACGAGCAGAGGGAAGGCGATGGTGGCGTCGCAATGCACCTGGGGGTGGGTATTCGGTACACAGGGAGGGAAAGGAGAGGGCAGGCAATGAGGCAAACGTCTCGGCTACGAGCAGAGGGAAGGCGATGGTGGCTGGCGTCGCAGTGCACCTGGGGGCGGCCATGGGTGCACACAGAGAGGTGGTTGACAAGGGGTGATGAAATGCAACACTTTCAGGGAGGCAGCTTAAAAGTCGAGCACAGGGAGGTGGATGACAAGGGGTGTTGAAATGCAATGCAATGCACACCTCAGGCGGGCATTCTCTCACCTTCACAGCAGTAGCATCCCCCCCGATCTTCCTCCAGCTGACTGCCTCATCTGGCTTCGCCCCCGAGTAACTCCCATCAAACTCGTTGGCTGTATGGATGTAGACAGCGTAGTCCGCCCCACGCCTTGAATATGTCTCACGGTGTGTGCATCGATTGTAAGCGACTGCAAGCACTTACCTTCACAGCAGTGGCATCTCCTCGAATCTTCCCCCAGCTGACTGCCTCGTCCGGTCTCGCCCCCGAGTCACTCCCATCAAACTCGTTGGCCGTGTTGATGTAGACAGCATAGTCCGCCCCGTTGCGCATCATGTTGGCGTTGCAGATGTGGTGCTTCGGCAGCCCTCCCCCCAGGATGATCACGCCCGTGCGCCGGGGGGTGGCGTGCACCGCCTCACTGTTCATCCGCCGAATGTCTGGGGGGGAGGGGGAGGGATGGGTTGTTGGGGGGCGGAGGGAGGACGGGGGGAAGAGGGGGGGAAGAGGGGGGGAAGAAGGGGGGATGAGGGTTGTGCAGGGGTAGGCCGGGGGAGGGAGGAGGGAAGGGGGGGTAGTCCGCCCCGTTGCGCATCATGTTGGCGTTGCAGATGAGGTGCTTCGGCAACCCTCCCCCCAGGATGATCACGCCCGTGCGCCGGGGGGGGGCGTGCACCGCCTCGCTGTTCATCCGCCGAATGTCTGCACAACTGGTGAGCCAAGGAAACAAAGAGAGGGATTTAAAGGGGAGTGGGGACAGGGTGGGGGTAAACGGATTGGGAGACTCAATTTTCATCCTGCGACTGTCTGGGAGGGGGCTGGGAGTTAAAGGGGAAGCGGGAATCGGGAAACTTGGCCCTCGGCCAAAAGTAAAGTCGAGTCAAGTGCAGCACTCACCTTCCACAAGGTCGATGACGAGCCCTGGCGAGCGGAAGGAGTGGAAGTAGAGCATGTCTCCCAGGGACCCGTCCGTGATGGCTGGACAGAACACAGGGATGCAGTTCTGCGTGGGTGGGGGACAACGGGAACATGGGTGGGGATGGAAGGGAGCATGGGTAACAGCTCGGGATGGATGGGAGGGAGCACGGGACAACGGGAACATGGGTGGATGGACGGCACCCCCGGTGGGGACCTGGGTGGTTGGCGGACTTGGGTGGTTGGCGGACTTGGGTGGTTGGCGGACTTGGGTGGTTGGCGGACTTGGGAGGTTGGGGGACTTGGGTGGTTGGCGGACTTGGGTGGTTGGCGGACTTGGGTGGTTGGCGGACTTGGGTGGTTGGCGGACTTGGGTGGTTGGCGGACTTGGGTGGTTGGCGGACTTGGGTGGTTGGCGGACTTGGGTGGTTGGCGGACTTGGGTGGTTGGCGGACTTGGGAGGTTGGCGGACTTGGGTGGTTGGCGGACTTGGGTGGTTGGCGGATTGGGTGGTTGGAGGACTTGGGTGGTTGGCGGACTTGGGTGGTTGGCGGACTTGGGTGGTTGGCGGACTTGGGTGGTTGGCGGATTGGGTGGTTGGAGGACTTGGGTGGTTGGCGGACTTGGGTGGTTGGCGGACTTGGGTGGTTGGCGGACTTGGGTGGTTGGCGGACTTGGGTGGTTGGCGGACTTGGGTGGTTGGCGGACTTGGTGGTTGGCGGATTGGGTGGTTGGAGGACTTGGGTGGTTGGCGGACTTGGGTGGTTGGCGGACTTGAGTGGTTAATGGGTAAGTACTGACCTTGTGCGCCCAGTACAGGACTGACTCCTCGTGGTTGATTGATTCCCCCAGGCGGTCAATGAGCTTCGAGGGCGTCCACAGCACACCCTGGCCAAGGCATGGCACACGCGGGAAGTGAAGGAAGAAAAGTAGAATTGGAGTTGACTAAGACAACAGCCATCCGGGGGGGAATGGTCAAGCAGCAATCCACCAGTAGGAGGGGACCTTCACGTCCCCAGACCCTCCTATCTTCTCCTTCCTTCTCAGCGACCACCTATTTTCACTTCTGATTCCCCTCCTCGCCTCTCTCGTCTGCTGCTCCAGGCATGCATCCAGCACTGGCAGCACCCAGACTTCAAACTGGCAGTAGCAGGTTGCCGAGGCGGTTCAGCCCCATTGGTGCTCCCCTCTCGCCTCCCTTCACGCCCCTCACCTGTGTCTTCTGCTCTTCCAAGCAGCGGTCCAGCAGAGGCAGCACCCAGTCTTCGAACTTGCAGTAGTTGTTGTTGGGCACCAGCAGGTTGCCTATGCGGTTCAGCCCCTTGGCTCTGAGCTCCTTCCCCGGCAGGGCAAAGTCGCCCAGGAGAGTGGGCGCCAGGCATTTAATCACATCCTCTTCTATCCCCCCCGCTGTAGTCACTATCACATCCACCTGGAAGGGTGTGTGGGTGCGGGTCGATGGATGGTTTCAAGCAATCGTGAGGGGGGGTGGTTATGAGAGGATGTGCGTCAAGCAAACGAAACTAGATGAAAGCCAGAATAGGAACACAAGTGAGCATAGCGGCATTAAACGGAACAGGGGGAGGGGGCGGGGGGAAAGGGGGGAATTATTAAAAAAAAAAAGAGAAATGCTGCGACTTGAGGTTAAGTCCTACCAGTCTGTGCCTCGCCAGGAAGCAGAACGTCTCTTTGAGCCCCGAGCTCACGAGGTTGGATTGGAGGTGAACCCCGGGAAGATCTTGCGCTGCACAGATGACCAGAAGGCAGGGTCCCTCACTCACTCTCTTAAGACGACCCCAAAGCTGCTTACTCGCCCGTGGCAGTGGCAGTGGCAGCGACGTACCAGTCTGTGCTTTGCTAGAAAGCAGAACGTCTCTCTGAGTCCCGAGCTCATGAGGTTGGAGGTGAAGCCCAGGAAGATCTTGCACCGCACGGACGACCGGAAGGCAGGGTCCCGCTCCTCCTCTGTGTCATCGGCCTTGGGCGGGTCGTGGCTCAGACGCCATGCGAGCTGGGGGAAATACCGGGGTTCAGGGTTTGGGGTTTCAGAAGAAAGGGTTGAAGGGGGAGGGGGGGAATTAAGAAAGGAGAGACTGAGAGCATCAGAAACAAGGGGATAAACAGGGGATAACAGGCGACAACAGGTTCACGAGGAAGTTACGGGCCATGGGGTGTAGAAAGGAAGCCATTGAACGAGGAAGGCGTAATGCCGAGAGTGAGGACGGAAGCAGGCGACGGCAGGCACAGGCGATGGACTGGCACAGGCGACGGACTGGCACGGGCGACGGACAGGCACGGGCGACGGACAGGCACAGGCGACGGACAGGCACAGGCGACGGACTGGCCCAAGTGCCCATAGGAGGAGCATCAGAAGCGGGCCACGCGATCGCACCATGCGGTTGACTTCGTTAATAGCCTGCCCCAGACACGTGGCCTGGAACCCCGTCGTCAGCATTCGGCTCATCAGCTGCTGGTAATCCACCGCCACCGACGCCGCTCCTCCTACTCCTGTCAGCGAGCCCGTTTCTCCTACTTCTCGCATCGAGTCCGCTCCGTCTCCTACGGCTGTCGCGGTACCCGCTTCCCCTCGTTCGGTTGCTCCTGCTGTAGCCGTCGCAGCTCCATCGCTTTCTCGTATATCACCGTCCGCCTTACTAGGCGCCTCGTTTGCGGCGCTACCTTCTCGCGGCGGATCACGGCGAGAGGAGGATTCGCACGCGAGGAGAGCGGAAGCTCCGTCGAAGGTGTATCCGCGGACAAGTGGCGTGCTCTCGTCCACAGCATCGGATCGCTTTAGAGCTGCTTCTAGCGCGCATTGCGGTGGCTGCTGCTGCTCCATGGGCAAATCACTCGCTAATGGCGCCTAAGAGCCTTGTGTCTGGCCTTGCTGTGCGGCTGGCCTTGCTGTATGGACGAGTTGGGCTTCTGTAAGTGACGGCTGTCGCGCTGTTTAGACCAGACCTGGTCAGTTTTAGCCCACTTGGACTTCGGCCTCTTGAGCCCGCTCAAGATGGGGATTATGTAGTGCCCGTCAAAAGCAGACGCGTTTGTGGATAGTGCAGGAGGACATTTCTCCGCATAACAAATTTCCTGCAAACGAAGAAAAATTAGTGTAGCCATCAAACATCACATTCTATTCATACAATCAACAAACCTACCATCCGCATATAACTTATGGAGGTGAGAGCTTCACTGAGAAAGTGCGGATTTCCCCCGGCGCTAATTCCACCACGAGGGACGTTGGGTCCACTGGGCCTCCTAAGAGTGAGTTCTCTTTGGAATTGTCAGCTTCTGATGGGTCTTCACCGTCCACGTGCCATTTCATTGGGCGGCGCATTTCCGACCGCTTTTGGTTGGCCATTAGGCTCAACTCGACGACTCCTTTAATCTGCACCGTTGAATGGGAGCACAGAGCCGAGTTTGCCGCTCACACATGATTTCAACAACTGGGGCCACCAACAATGACTTGCACAACCAGCTGGGGGCATAAAAATGCATTGCAGGGCAGGAAGGATGGTATTAGCAAATAATTTGAGACCATACCTTCTGCGATGAAAGAAGTTGACGAAGGTCAACGCGTCCGATTTTGGACAGCGTTGGATGCTCATAGGCCTAGGGTGGTGGTGGAGGGAGGGGGGGCGCAATGAAACATGAAAGGGTTTCAATAAACGCACGTGGTCGAGCTCAGAAAATGCTTCACATACAATTACAGGGAGAAAGGAAGTGATGAGGCAGTACAAAAGAATGACATAGGGGAACATGGGAGCCTGCATCAAGTTGAGTGTCAGGCATGCTGCCACAGGAAGCAGCAAAGAGTGCACTGCACTCAAACCCGTACCTCGTACAGATGAGCCAGTCGCAGCACAATCTCCCTGGGAGACAGCTCCTGCAAGGGAGAGATAGAGTGTGAGGGGGAAGCAGCAGCCCTTCACTTCAGGCACCACACAAAGACTAGTTTTGAGGCGCCTCAAAACTAAACAGCGTGATAGGAGTCTAGTTTTGAGGCACCTCAAAACTAAACAGCGTGATAGGAGTCTAGTTTTGAGGCGCCTCAAAACCAAACAGCGTGATAGGAGTCTAGTTTTGAGGCACCTCAAAACTAAACAGCATGATTGGAGTCTAGTTTTGAGGCGCCTCAAAACTAGTGTGAGGGGGAAGCAGCAGCCCTTCACTTCAGGCACCACATAAAGAACCAAACCAAGCCCGCGCGGTGAACAAGACGCCGCGCTCAACAAGCACCAGACAGATGGCGCTTTTGCTCATCTCAAAACGCCGTGCTGTGGAACAGGAGCGGGGCGAATGGGGATGAGGGGCTGCCAGTGGGGACTAGCTGACCTGGAAGGAACTACGAGGGGCGTCAAGCTGACCTGGAAGGAACTACTAGGGGGGTCAAGCTGACCTGGAAGGAACTACTAGGGGGGTCAAGCTGACCTGGAAGGAAATACTAGGGGGGTCAAGCTGACCTGGAAGGAACTACTAGGGGGGTCAAGCTGACCTGGAAGGAACTACGGTCAAGCTGACCTGGAAGGAACTACTAGGGGGATCAAGCTGACCTGGAAGGAACTACTAGGGGGGTCAAGCTGACCTGGAAGGAACTACAAGGGGGGTCAAGCTGACCTGGAAGGAGATAACAGCGACGTTTGGTGGCAGGGAGTAAGCGGGTTGGTGCACACTGGTGGTGCGGCTGCTGGGGCGCTGGGAGAGGGAGTAGCGCCACCTGTACGTTCCCTCTGCTGCCTTTATGGCCTCCTTTGACTGCGGGGAAGCAAGGGTTAGTGGGGTGCAGGGAGTCATTAGCGGGTCGGTGCACACTGGTGGTGCGGCTGCTGGGAGGCTGGGAGAGGGAGTAGCGCCACCTGTACGTTCCCTCTGCTGCCTTTATGGCCGCCGTTGACTGCGGGAAGCGGGGTGCAGGGGTTGCAGGCGTTTTAGGTGGAGGGAACGGCAGGAGCAAGGGAAGGAAGAGGCGAAGGATGTTATGTCAAACATGCGTTAAACATGCTGGTGCAAAGCAGCAACAAACGAATCCGATATGGTTGGCTTGGCGGATCCGAGGAGTGGCTTAACCGCAGTGGACAGAAGAAAAGCATGCACGCACCTCAACAGCAAACGCCAGCTGCAGAGGTGCAATGAGTCGCTGGGCGTGCTCCCTCCGCCACTCTGCTCCCTGCCCCCCCTGCTGTTCTTCAACAACCTCCCTCTCCCCCCCTCGCCTGCCCCGAGTCCGCCTCATCTCAGACGAATCCTGAATCGCCTCTCCGTTATCCTCTTCTCCCGCCCTTTCAGCCCCACGCCTGCCATGAGGGGACCTCTCAGGCCACATCTGAGAAGCCTGCTGCACAGCTGGCATGCTGCCGCCACCCGTACCAGCCCCACCAGTGGCATCAGCGCCAGAATCGAAACTCGGGTTGGTCTCAGCACCAGCGGCGGCCTCAGCACTGGCATGGGCAGCAGTGCCTGCGCTCAAATGCCTGCTGTCGCTGCCCCCTGGTGTTTCCTGCATGCCCCCCTTGCCCCCCTCCGCTGTGCTGCCCCCTGTGTGCAGGCCGAAGCGGAGCGAGCCGATCACCTGGAGGGCAAAAGAGGGATGGCGAGTGGCTAAGAAAGGAAGGGTCGGCGCGTGAAGGAAACACGACCCCGTTTGGCTTGCACTTGTGCACGTTCGCTTGAGTGCGTGTTTTATTGACAGCCTGAAATGATGAACGCATGGTGCCATACCGCACCATACCATTCTGTACCATACCATACCATGAGGCGTTCCGTGTTGCCATTGACTGTGATGGCCTCGTTGAGAACCTCCCCCACTCCCTTCATATCCACCGTGGCCAGTGCGCTGCAATCGTACAGGGGGAAAAAACAATCATCCATACACTGATGTTGCCTACGGAAAGGTAATGCACAAAGATACATACAAGACAGGGACCATGAGAGGATGGTGTAGCAGCAGATGGGCATGACACGAGCCTCATTGGTGCAGCATGACTTGCATGCCCTTCTATGTTGCCTGTGCTACGGTACATCCAGGCTGCTACAGTGTATCCAGGATGCTACAGAGCATTACAGGCTGCTACAGTACATCCCAGGTTGCTACAGTGCATCTCATGCTGCTACAGTAAAACCATGCTGTTGCAGTGCCACTGCTTCAATGCTTTCCAGGCTGATACAGTGCAACCCCAGCTGCTACAGTGCACTCCCATGCTGCTACAGTGCCCTCACCGGTGCAGCATGACTTCCAGCTGGCCATCCGCCAGGCTGGCAGCACCGGCTGCTCGGTCCACCAGCAGAGATAGCTGCGCCGCCCCATCGCCGATGAATGCGCCCACCGTCACCTGGGGGTGGGAGCGGGAGGAGAGAGGAAGAAAGCACGATTCACCGCTGTCGCTGCTCTGTCTGTCCCTGAGCAGAGACAGTTGAACATTCCGATCCCATCCCATCGCCTCGCCTGTGAATGCCCCACCTCTGCCACCTGGAGATGGGAGCGGGAGGAGAGAGGAAGAAAGAGAGATCCACCATTATTGCTGCTCAGGAGACTTGCGACATCTGTGACTCATTATGCGTATGAATGCCCCTACCATCGTCAACTGAGGATGGAATAAGGAGACAGAGAACGATGAAGGGGCACGAGGAGATGAGATATTCACATGCAAGTCAGACGTCTGGGGTAAGTAGCTCTCCGAGAAAGCAGCCCATGATGATAAAAAACGTCCAAAGAGGCTTGCCGTGCTAGTGTCTGAACTGAGCAACAGATAAACTGGGCTGACAAATAAGGTGGACTGACCATACAGAATCGGCAACTAAGGTGGGATGACCGCATTGAGTCGACAAATGGCGTGGACTGACTGGATAGAAGTTGCCTGCGATGGGGTCGGTGAGAGCGAGGGTCCAATCAGAGCGATAGTTCAAAACCTGGGGGCAGAGGGGGTGGGCAGAGAGGGAGGACAGAGAAGGGAGGGAGGTGGGGGGAGAATGGGGTTACGGGAAACAGATGGAGGGGTGGGAAACAAAGGGCTGGGAGAGCGGAGGTGAGAAGGTGAGAAATAAGAGGGGAAGGTGAAAAGCAAGAGGAAAAAGATCCAGCAGCAGTCACCAGACTCAGCACTAACCCGTTGGAGGTACTATTTGCAGTTGAAAAAGGCCGTGGTGCTAGTATACCAGCTGAACTGAAGTCTAGTCACTCGTTCAAGCTACTCTCCCCTGCCTAATAAGCTCACCCGTTTGAGGTTTTGTCGGCCGTTGGAGTCAGTAAAGAAGGTGTCGTTGGTGCTGATGGCAGCTGCACTGGACAGTAATCACTCGTATTAAGCTGCTCTCCCCTGTTTATATAAGCTCACCCGTTTGAGGTACTGCCTGCCGTTAGAGTCAGTAAAGAAGGTCTCGTTGGTGCTGATGGCGGCTGAAAAGCGAGACACCACCTCGTGACCCGCGCCCTCAGGAACAGGGCCGATCTGCCAAGTGTGTGAGAGGGGGGGGGGTGTGGTGAGACGCAACGAGGGGAGGGAGACAACAACACCCCATAACCCATGCCCTTACAGGCAGGGCCGAGTGTGAGAGGAGGGGAGAGGGTGGGGGGGTGGGAGTGGGGGGGGGAGCAATGAAGGGAGGGAGACACCACCTTGTGACCCATGGCCTCAGAGGCAGGGCCGATCTGTGGAGTGTGAGAGGAGGAAAGAAGGGCGGGGGGGGAGCAGTGAGGGGAGCGAGACACCACCTCGTGACCCGCGCCCTCAGGGACAGGGCCGATCTGCAAAGTGTGAGAGAAGGGGGGGGGGGGGGGGGGGGGGGGGGGGAGAGAGAGAAGCGATGAGGCGAGGGAGACACCACCTTGTGACCCATGGCCTCAGAGGCAGGGCCGATCTGTTAAGGGTGTGAAGAGGGAGAGACTAGGGAGAACAGAGAGGGTACGAGCACATGGAGGAGCTGAGAGGCCCCTTTGAGGCCTCTATGCTGTACTGTGAGGTAGAACAAGAGCACAGGCCCCTTTGAGTTGATTTTTGAGTCGACTCAAAAATCAGGTACGAGCAGCATAGATGAGAGGAATGCTGTGCTGTGAGGTAGAACAAGAGCACAGGCCCCTTTGAGTTGCGCAAAGCATGGCACTTCACAGTTGCAAGATGGCCTGTGAAGGAGTGTGGCTATGTCTGGCAGGAAAGCGTGACTGTGGCGAGGCATCTTACCGCGTAGTGCAGTTCGGCGTAGTCACACCCAGGGTACACCCGGAAGGTCTGCAGGTGAAGGGGAAGGCAGTGAATGCAGCAAGCAGGGGGCAAGGTATGGGCAGCAGGAAAGAAAGTGAGTGGAAGAAGCAGGTGGAAAAAGTGCGCTGTAGAACATGGGACAGAATTAGTTGCAAACACAAAACAGGAGGAGGGGGAGGAGAGGGGGGGGGGGGGGGGGGGGGGGGCTGGGGTTTGCAATTAGTGGTCTGAGTACCTCTGAGACCCATGGAGCGATTTGTCGAGAGAACTCTTCCACGATCGGTCCACGCTGGACATAGATGGGCACCTGGACACGTCAGCACGGCCAAGGGGGTGCATGGGGTTCAAATCAAATAAGAGTGGGTGTTTGAATGCACAAAGAAGAGTGCATGTGACACATGCGTACTCACTCATGTGAAGGTCCATGAGATCTCAGAAGGCCTAATAATTGATCAGTTTTTATATAGAGACTGGCATATCAACCATGCTTCTATGCGTGTGTTATAAAACCTGATTCACCACCAAGACATTCGACCTGCTGGAGCTAATACTGACTCACCTCCAGGTAACTTTGCACCAAAGTGTTCAAATAGACGATTTTTGAGGCGCCTCAAAAATCGTCTCCAGGTAACTTTGCACCGAAGGGTTCAAATAGACGCTGATTGCACTGACCTGGCCGTTCGTGTCAGTAGGGCTGGTTGCTGCACCAGAGGGATCAAAGATGTAGGCTCCACCCTGGAAGACGGGGGGAGGCGAGAGGCAGGAGGGGAGGAGCGATTGGTGAATAGGCAAGGAGATGGAGGGGAGGGGCGGGAAGGGGAGCAAACAGAAGGCAGGTGAGATCAGAAAAGGTGGGAGGGAGGGGGCAGGAAGAGGGAGAAGGAAGGTCAAGGCAGTGAGGAAGGTATTCGGGTGGGCGGGGAGAGGCACAAGCAGAAGAGAAGAGTGCGAAGAGAAGAGAGAGAGGAGAAGAGAGGAGAGTGAATCCTAGATGCAGCAGTGCCCATGGCTTAACACGAACAGTGTGGGAAACAGGATGGCAGTTCGGGTTGATGACAGGAGAAAAGAAAGGGATATGATGATGGGAAGTAGATACTGACTGACCTTGGCTGTGACATACTCGAGTACGTCTGATCTCACTGGCTTTTGAGTCGACTCAAAAGCAGAAATGATGATGGGAAGTAGATACATACCTTGGCTGTGACATAATCCAGTACGTCTGATCTCACTGGCTTCGCCACTTCCTGCCATCCCAGCAGACAAGGAACGAGACGGAAGGCATGAGGAAGGATATGGCAGAGGGGAATGGGGAAAGGGAGCGGAGAGCAGAGAGTGGCAGGGCGCAACGGGACTCAGACTAAAGTGTTCCGGGAGATAAATGTGTATGGAATATCGGTGGCCGGTGGGCGCTGGGTGGTTCCGCTCTCCCCCTCTCCCACTCTCCCGCTCTCCTGCTCTCCCGCTCTCCCTTTCAGGGTTTAATCTTGCCCTCTAGGACACTGAGTATGCACAAGAGATTAATACGGCCTTGGCCATGGCGGGCGGCGGCGGGCGTGCGGTGGGTGGTGGGGTATGTCTTGTGAATGTGGCACTCACGCTTTGTCCTGTGGACGTGGCACTGACGTTTCGTATTTTGAATATGGTTCTGGAAGTCACACTCACTACCACTAGCCCCACCATAAGCCACACTCACCACCTAACCCCACCTCCAGATAGCCGGCACTGTTTACGATCTCCTGCCTGCCTTCTGCCTACTGAATGAGCTCCAAATGCGTCATCCCATGCGCTGACTTGTGGAATATCACTTGCAGCACGAATGGACCCTTCCAACTCCCACACTGCTAGCCCCACCATCAGACAACTTCCACTCACCACCACAATCTCCTGCCCGCATTTAGGCTGCCGAATGAGCTCCATGTGCGTCATCCTATGCGCTTGACTTGGGGAATGTCACTCGCAGCACGAACCATTCCCCCTCCCACACTGCTAGCCCCACCGTCAGGCAATTCCCACTCACTCACCGCGATCTCCTGCCCCCCTTCAGCCGGCCGAACGAGCTCCATGTGCGTCATGCCATACGCTGACTTGGAGAATGTCACTCGCAGTGCAGCGTCTCCATCCTCGCCCGCAGTATTCGCCTTAGCCTCACCACCACCAGTACCGCCACTAGCACCGCCGCCGCCGCCAGCAGGAGACGGGGCAGCTTTGAAGCCCCCTAGAACAATGGTTTCAGGGAGAGAATCGGCAGCCTCGTTGCCGCTTGGGGTTCCAGCAGGGCCGTTCTGGTGGGCTGGGACTGTTGCAAACTTTGCTGTGCTGATGATTGCTGCACCTTGCGTGCCTGAGAGAGGGTTGCAAGAGGGAATGAAGACCGCATTGAGTGTGGGCCAAGAGGGGGGAAAGAGGGGGGAGAGGGGGGGGGGGGGGAATGGGAGGGAGGGGGAGAGGAAGAGAGTGAGCCATGCTGGGCGTGATCTTTGTTGGACCCAGTGAATGGGTTAGAGGGTTAACTGTGATGTGCTACTAGCCATCGTGGCCCTTCAGGCCCCACCCCTCTGACTGGAGCGCCACAGATTATGCTGCACTGGACCACTCGTTCCCTTCGCCTACTTAATCGCATGAACGCTCAAGGGTGCAAGATTCACTGCAGAATGTTCAGCTTGTGGCTAGTCCAGCTTGTGGCTAGTCCAGCTTGTGGCTAGTCCAGCTTGTGGCTAGTCCAGCTTGTGGCTAGTCCAGCTTGTGGCTAGTCCAGCTTGTGGCTAGTCCAGCTTGTGGCTAGTCCAACTTGTGGCTAGTCCAGCTTGCGAGAGGGCGTGCGAGTTCGCTCGTAAGCCACCCGGCTTATACCTGGAGGCACTACAGTCAGGAAGAAGGTCGCATATCCCAGAGGGGTGACTTCTAAGTCAACTCAAAAATATCTTGAGTGGACTCAGGAGCGGGCAAATACCTGGAGGCACTGCAGTGAGGAAGAAGGTGGCATATCCAAGAGGAGGCACCTCGGCGTGAAACACAACGGACAACAAGCCCTTCTGCGGCTGCTGCTGCTGCTGGGCCTCCTGGGGCAGCTCGCCAGTGTACGCGGCAATGTACGTGGCACGCGTGTTGAGAGGTACGAGGGTCTCGATGACGATTTGAGCGGGGATGGGGGAGTTCGTAGAGTCTGTCACAAGGACTGGTGATGAGGAGACCTGGAGGGTCGGAGAAGAGGCGAGGAGTGCAGATAGGTTGGGGGGGAAAAGGGGAAGGTGGGGTTGTGGGAGGGGGGGTGTGGGGGGGAGGAGAAGGGAGGGGAAAGGAAACGAGCAGAGGGTAGGGGAGGGACGAGCCTTGTCCGACGAGGAAGGAAGGTGCACGGAAAAAGAGAGACGTAGACGCAGAGCGGGGAGAGTTCAGCTGAGCAGAGTGGAAGAGTGAGGAAGCCAGAAGGGCGGTGCAACAGGAAGCACAAGGGAAGTACCGGAAAACGAACAACTTCTGCGCGCGGCCATCCTAGTGGGTTGAACACAGTCACCACCTGGTTGCAGATTCGACAAGAGAAGGGTGGATTGTGAATTTGCTGAGTGGGAAGTGGAGAGTGTACGGCAGTATGGTATATAGGGAAACGAGCTTTGGAAGCATAGAAGAAGCATGCAATGATGAGGAGTGGTCAGATGGCGCAATCAGGAGCAAAAAAGAAAGGGTGGAGGGGGAACTCGGACGAGAAGGAAGACTCAGACGAAGCTATATTGGAGGGAAAAAAAAAAAGTGGTGACAAAAAGGCGAGGCCTACCAGGACTTGATCTTGGCCAAGGTTGGTTTGAGATGGGGGGCAGTAGGAGAGGTTGAGGAGTGGGCACTGCAGCAGAGTGAACAACAGAAAATGGATGGAATGAAATTGAGAATGCCAGGGGTGTAAGGGGGTGTAAGGGGGTGGAGGGGATGGAGGGGGTGGAGGGGGTGGAGGGGGTGGAGGGGGTGGAGGGGGTGGAGAGTGCATAAGGAGGGATAAGATCAGGGAGAAAAGAGAAGTACAGCTTGATTGGTAGCTGCAATTGTGCGGGTAACAGAGATGTAAAGTGAGGGGCCAAGTGAGGACGCAATCGGACCACAGCAGCTAGAAGCCTAGAGAGCTCTGGCCCTGTAACTAACAACAAGTGTAACACAGCGGAAAACATCACATACCATCTGAAAGTCCAGCACAGGCATCCCTCCCTCTGCCGCTCTTCTTCGATCACCACCCTCTGCACTCTCTCGTGCACTATCCTCCCTCCCGTCACGCACACCTCTCACAACTCCTCCCTCCCTCAGAAGCCGCCTCCCCCTGCTGCTGCTACCTGAACCAATCCCCTCTCCCCGCACTTCCCCTTCCCCACCTGCCCCTCCACTCCCGCCCACCACTCCACTGTTCTCTGCCCCTGTGATGCCGTCCCGTGCACTCAGCAGCATCTCCTGTCCCCTCCTTCCTGGAAGACCAACCGTGCCATCCCTGGGAGGAAAGGTCTGCTGTGCTGCAGAAGCAGCAGCAGCAGCAGCAGCAGCAAACCCAAGAGAAGCAGCCTCTTCCGAAGGCGGCTGCTCCTGTGGGTTCTGATCTGGAACTTGCTGTGTTGTCTGTTCTGGCTGGACAATCTCTTCCACAGGAGGCACCTGACGGTTGTACGGGAAGAATGCCGTGCCATCTGCCATCTGCTGCTGCTCCCCCCCAGTCAACGCTGGGTCAACCTGAGTCAACGCTGGGTCGATTTGAGAGAAGAGCGGGTCGGACAGCTCATTCCCTGGCATTGACGGGTCTAGAGGATTGGCCAATGGGAGGTTTGGCTGGTCAACAGTAAACGAGTGAGGCTGAAAAGGGTCCTCAGAAGTCCATTGCACGGCTTGTGCTTCAGCAGCAGGGTCAGGCACGGGGGAACCAGGCTGGGAATTGAACGGGGGGAAGTCTGAAGGCCCACCTGTGGGCTCGGCAGTGGGAGTGTAGAAGGCTCGAGAGGGGTCATTGGGAAGCGCGGCAGAAGCTGGGGAGGAGGGGCGCGGTTGGAGAGGAGTGGGGGCTGCTTGGGTGATAAGATGAACGAGAGCAGCTGTGACAATAGTGAAGCCCTGGAGCGATTATGACAAAGAGGGAACAAATGGGAGGGCAAGGGAGGAAAGACGTATTACAAAGAGGGGAGGGCAAGGTATAACAAGGTGAGGTTCACCTGCTGAAAGTCAAGGAGAGCACGGAAACGCTCTCAGCTACCATTTTCATCTGCCCAGTCTTTCGTCTATCACCTCCCTCCCCTCGCCTCCTGTGCAGCATTCACCATTGTCACCTCCTGAGCCGCTCTGTGCAGTCTGAGCGTGTAGTCGTCATTCACGTGCTGCTGAGCCGTGCCTGTGATGGCATCGTGATGCTGTGCCACTGCCACCGCTTCTTCCAGAGGGAATGTCGACGCCACCCTCCTCCTCCTCGCACTCCCCCCCAAACTCTCCCACTCCTCCCACTCACCACTGTCAACCTCCCCCTTCTCTTGCGCACCTCCCCTTCCTCCTGTGCCTCTCTCGACCCCTCCTCCACCCCCACTCCCACCCTCTCCCGTGGCTCCTGCACTCCCAATATCTCCCCCTTTCCCCCCACTGGCGAATTTCAGCTTCTTTCCCAGGTGATTGTCGAACAAAAACTCGTCTGTAGCGATCATCCTGTGGTTCTTGAGGCCCCAGTCCCTCAGAGCCCTCTTGCCCACAGCAGCCTCGAGAACAGTGGTTGCCTGAGCGCGTGAGGGCAGAAGGGTGAAGGGGGGGGGGAGGGGGAGAGATCGGAGCGGATGGTATAAAAAGCAGAAAGGTTCGGGGGCTGTGGGTTTGGGAGACGTTGGAGTGGCACGGGATCTGAGAATGTTCATGCTGAACGAGTGAGCTCAAGTGAAGAATGGTGCGGTGAGATGGTATGGTACCAGACAGGGTGTCTTTTGAGTTGACCGGAATGATGGAGGGTTATGGTGACGGATGTGATTAAGACGAGAACACACGAAAAGAAAGGAGCTGGGTGTTTAGGTACGTCAGGGGAAGGACGCACCAGCAGCAGGGAGCTGCACACGCGGGCATAGCGCTTGAAGTTGGCCCGGCTGGCAAAGTACCCCGTCCAGACACTGTGAGGGGCGTCAGCATAGCTGTATATCAAGCACGAAGGAGATGGAAAGGCAGTCAGAGAGGAGGTAGGCAGCGGGAAAAGGTCGTCTGAACGCCAGATAGTGAGGCGGTTGGGGGGGGAGGGAGGGGGGAGGGGGGGGGGGGGGGGTGTGAGGCAGGCTAAACTTTTACGGGGTCTCACAAAAGGTTGAGAAAAAGTCGGTGGGGGGCGGTAACGAATCTGAAAAGTATATGATCAAGAGCGGAGAATACATAGCAAAGGTCACAGCATGTGTACATAAAATCTGAAGCATTTGACAGGGACGTACGGGAACATGTCACCAGTCTTGAGAGGCCACGTCTTCTTCTCCTTGTGAAGGGCGTCCAGATGGAAGGAAGGTGTGGAGTAGAGGGCGTTCACTCGGCCATCCTGAAACAGAATTGTCAAGCATGGTAAGGGTGAGGGATATGCACACATACATCACAGGCATGTGCAATGTACACGAGAACGCGCACACCACGCAAGAAATGAACCAGTTGTCAAGGAGGGTTTGGTTGGCGCATGGCATGCCTTGCAGGGAAGGCAACGAGCTAGAAAGGAACTTGTACTGTGAATGAAAATGCCCAGGCGGAGTCAAGAATGAGCTTGTACAAGCTTGGTTGTACCGCAGGCCGAGTCAAGAATGAGCTTGGACAGGCTCCTCGAGGTTGTGATGGCATAGGGCACGATTAACGCATGTCCTACCACGCCATGCCATTCCTGGCTCACGCAGTGAATGAGCTTGTCCATGTTCTTGAATAAGAGGATGGCATGTCACCACAGCACACCACCTCACATCACACCATGCCATGTCATGCCAGATTCACGTAGTGGATGTGGATGAGCTTGTCCATGTTATCGAACAAGAGGATGGCATGTACAGTATGTATGTCACACCACACGCCACACCATCCCACATCACGCCATGTCATACCAGGTTAACGTAGTGGAGGAGCTTGTCCATGTTCTTGAACAAGAGGATGGCATGTCACACCACGCCACACTACCCCACACCACCCCACAGCACGCCATGTCATACCAGGTTGACGTAGTGGATGAGCTTGTCCATGTTCTTGAACCACATGATGGCCTCGTCGAACGAGAAGTCCTCGCCCATGGGGAACAGCAGGTGGTTCGTGCGGAACGCCTGCGCCTGAGGAGGAGAGAGAGGGAGTGACAGAGACAGCAAGAGGAGGGAAGAAATGAATGACGGGGGAAGGGGGGAAGCATTGAAATAATGGTGAAAGTGGCTTTATTGGTGCACGTGAGCCGTTTTCCTTTCGACTAACTTTCCATTGTACGTACCTTATCCTGTGCATGCTAACTTGTTGTGCATGCGCATGCTACGACTCACCCTGCATACGCTGAGTGACCCTGCATACGCTGGCTCACCCTGCGTACGCTGGCTCACCCAGCGTACGCTGACTCACTCTGCGCGTGGTTTCCTGAACAAAGAAGTTCACGAAATCCCGTACGTTGGGATCCCTCGCGTTCGGCCAGTCCTGACGATTCACATCACATGGCGAAAGGCAAGGGGGCACAGAGGAAACGGACAGAGGGAAGGAACACATTGAGTCACGTGATGGCACGTAGCATGAGGCATGGTGGCATACCATGCCATGACATGCCTCACCACTGCATTCCTTTGCACTGATGTCGCATAGTCCTCCTCCCTGGCTCTCTCCCTCTTCTCTGAGGACACGCTACCCTGGGTCCTTCACTTTCTGGCTCTGGCGCCTCTTATAGGTCACTACCTCTTGCTGTTCCCTCTCAAAGTTTCTGCCGGGATCTACTATCTATCCCCTTCACTGCTTACCCTTCCTTTGCCTATCCTCTCATCGTGGATCTAACATTTGCTCAGGAATGCTTCCACTAGCAACAAAGCATACAGGTTTTCCCACGGTTCTTGAGAGAACAAACAAAGTAGCTAAGCAATCGCGTAGCTCTGGTTTTGTTCTCCAGCACTAGAGGAGACACCCTGAGCCGAGCCCAACCCTCCCCACTGCTCAAGCCGCGCACCGTTTCGGGGTTTTCTCCACCGTGATGGCTCCCGGAGATTCTGCCATCCTCGCTCCAATCCTCTCCCCGCATGCCTGCTTACCGCGTCGCTCCCAACCCTGCTGACCTGGATGACGACAGCTCTCCATCCCTCCAACTGTCGCCCTCCGCGCCAACCTCCAATCCTCGTCCACCGCACTGTACCTCCAATCCCAAAACTGCATAACGCTCTCTACAGTACACAGCTCTACTCAAAACTTACCTACAAACTTCAGCGCTGTCCCATGCACTCTTAGGACCTCCATGTTACTAAGAGTCATGCGACACTGACGCACTAGCAATATGTTACATCAACAACCAGCTCTCCGATCCTGGGTACCGGGATTCCTCTAGGGGGAACCACCCGCTGTACGAAATCTCGCCAGGTCATTGTCCAACATTCACTGACTCTCCGTCAACCTACTTACCCTCAATCGGTACTGTGGGCTGTCCGTCTGCTGGTACCGGAACTCCTGCGGCGAGTAGTACCCGTCGTACAGAATCCCCGCAAACACCTCGGTTTCCCTCGGCGCTCCTGTGCCCGCGCGCCACACAAACTCCATCTTCTGGCTTGCCTTGCGCGCCTCCATGTCCTGGTAGTCCGCTCGCCCGAATATGAAACCATCCAAGCCAGCCTGGCGGTGATACACAGGGGTAAATCACGACGTTTTAGGCGACGAGAAGAGGTTACATATGATTACAATGTTGCTACAAAGGGAGATGTTGCAAACGACTATATTTTTCCAGAGAAAACCGAGGCGAGTGAAAGTGCAAAGCTTCACCAACCTGCGAGGTGATGAGGCTGGCCTGGGTGGCGGAGTGGCCGAAGGGATCAATCTGCCATGCAATGCGTGGCGTGATGTTGAAGTTTTCCTGGATGAAGCGATGGCCCATTGACATCTGGTGCACCATGTCCGTGTAGTGGCACACTGCCTCGTCGTGCATCACCCACCCGCCGTTCCTGTACAGCGCACAGCACAGCAAGGAGCACGCAAGAGTATGAGGGCATGGCATGAGTCTGCTTTTGAGTCGACTCAAAAACAGGCAAGAGTATGAGGGCATGGCATGAGATGAGAGCCTGTTCCAGGTGGGCAAATGAGATTTTCCGTGAGGAATTCCAGACACTTGGTCTCACGTGGCTAGAAATCGACGTCAAGTGGTTAGCCTCAAAGGCTTGACACAGTCCTGACCAATCCTCGGGCATGCGAGGCTTTGTCGCAGGAAACGGTGGCCAGACGTTGCAAGTGAAGGCAAACTCAGGGATGCGACGTCACAGGCCAGGTTCTTAGGTGTGACGGCTGATATAAGCATTATCAGCCAGCTTGCATACGCCTGACACGACATGATCTTCGTCAAAACGAGGTCCAGTGCTCTGGACTTAGCTTGAAGACTCACATGAACTCGAGCTGGCCGGAGGCCACCAGTTTCCTGACTTTATCTCTCATCGTCTCTTTCTGCTGCTGCCACCATAGGAAGAAGAATCCCTGCAATGAATTCAGATGTCACAGACGCGTTACGAAATGCCGCGTTATATAGCATTCAGGAGCGCATTCTGCACGTTCGAGAAGAGGCCACTCACCTGTTCAACTTGTATGAATTTACGGTCAGGATTGTCTGAGAGCTGATCAACGACGGTCTCGATAATATATTGTACTTGGTCAATCTGCAAAAGAGGTTCGCCGTAACAGCGTGAGTGACGACAATGACGACAACAAGAATGCAACACTGGGATTGAGCTTACGTAGTATTCGTCAATCGTCTTGACCCATCCGAGGTCGTCGTGAGAATGAGCAATCAAATGAACGTTCAGCTTCCCTTCCACAGTTCCCACGGACGTGTTATAACGAACTGGAAGCCGCTCTTCAAACGAGAATGAACCTTCCTTGACGGCATTTGACGGTTGACGGTTAAGGCTCTGGTGCGAGTTGACGGATTCTGTCTGCTGCTGGTCTTCCATGCTCTCAGCAGGGTTTAGAAATGTGACGCGGGTTGAAGACATTGACTGCTGCAGCACGAGCATCGTGAAGCCAGTCACGATGCCAATAAAAAAAGGCGGAGCGAGCATTGCGGTTCGGTTTATCCATGTCGGCGACATGCTGGCTGCGTCGTTAAATAGGAGAATGTCGAATATGAATCAGCCGAACTTGTTATGGTCAGCGGGTCAGGTCAGAAATGCTCGCGGATCACCTGACAGCCAACATCATTCAGGCACTAGATGAAAAGCAATGTGGAGATTTGTGGGCTAAGTATTGTAGAATGTGCGTCATTCGCCGTGGAGAAGGTTCTACGATCGAACGACCGATAGAAAATAACTCCGCTGGTTAGTAGGAGGCGACGTACGGAAACCGAGGGTGTGTGAATTGGGGGAGAAACCAGCCCTGCTCGGCGCCGACGAAATCTATGCCGCTCCTTTTGCTGCACATCCAACTCCAGAGTCCGCCTGAACACCTACAGTATGAATCAGCATTGCAACCAAAAGACTGGGCTGTTCAACTCCCCCTCTGTGGACCACTGACCAACTCAAACTGTACTGTTCTGTACCTTCTTGTTGACAGCAATGATCAGGGGGGGGAGGTCCTGTGGGGATGAGAGAGGAGGAGAAATGTTTGGGTCCTGGGTAGGGCTTAATTTTGGTTTTTGGTCACCCTTAAAAAAATTGGGCTCCTTAAAAGTTTACCTTTAATTTTCAGGGTCTAGCGAAAGGCAACCCTTAATCATCAGGGTTCGTTTGCACAGTACCCTTTTCACTGCCACGGTTAGAATCTACCAGGAGATGTGTGGACAAGACGAAAAGGGCGTGAGTAACGTGCACGGGGCTATGAGGTGAGAATGACGAAAATCCAAGTGAGTTGTCTCCCCTCTATTTGTGACGACGAAGTGTGAGTAACGTGCTGTGAGGGGAGAAGAACGAAAATCTACTAGGGGAGTTGTCTCCCCTCTGTTGGTGACTACGAGGTGTGAGAAACGTGCTGTGAGGGGAGAAGAACGAAAATCTACTAAGGGAGTTATCTCCCCTCTGTTGGTGACTACGGAGTGTGAGTATCGTGCTGTGAGGGGAGAAGAACGAAAATATACTAAGGGAGTTGTCTCCCCTCTGTTGGTGACTACAAGGTGTGAGTAACGTGCTGTGAGGGGAGAAGGTCGAAAACCTTCTGAGTTATCTCCCCTCAGTCAGTTGGTGGTGTGAGTATGTGCTGTGAGGGGAGAACAACGAAAATCTTCTTAAGGGAGTTGTTCCTCTTAAAGCGAGAAGGTAAAATAGTGAAGGCTGGCCCAACTTGAAAGTGGACTTCCCCTAGTGACTTCTCTTGGAAACCTCGGCTGAAAATTTACTGTTCCAAAGTGAAGCGGGTTGAAAAAATGAAGTTTGATCTCAAAGCTGATTGGATCCCGCCAACATGATCGCCGCGAGACGAAACTCGCGACGTGCCAAAGCTGTATTTCTGACACAAAATGCTTGTCAGGGTTAGCGTTTCCCCGTGCGATTCTGGCATGGCGAGTGCATGCGACGGGTTGAGGCTTTCGGGTCAAGTTGGGCCCAACTCGGTTTTCAAGTTGGGCCTGGGTTCACAATTGCTGCAAAGAGCACTTCTCTATTTCCTACGCGAAAGTTCATTTCATGGCTAGTTGTAAGCTACTAACAGACTCCTAGCTACCTAGTTCCGCTAGTTGACCCCTTGTTTTTTCCGCCTTAGTGTCTAGGAACAGTTAGGAAAATGTGACGCAACAAGATAGGGAGAGAGTGGCGCGGCGGGAGGGAAAGAGAGATAGTTACGTGGTGGGAGAGAGAGAGCAGCGCGATGGGAGAGAGAGCAGCACAGCGAGATGGGAGAGAGACAGAGTAACGCGGCGGGAGAGAGAGAGAGTAGCGCAGCGGGCCAGAGAGAGAGAGTAGCGCGATGGGAGAGAGAGAGAGAGTATCCCGACGGGAGAGAGACAGAGTAGTGCGGCGGGAGAGAGAGAGAGAGAGAGAGAGAGAGAGAGAGAGAGAGAGAGAGAGAGAGAGAGAGAGAGAGAGAGAGAGAGAGAGAGAGAGAGAGAGAGAGAGAGTAGCGCGGCGGGAGAGAGAGAGAGTAGTGCAGCGGGAGAGAGAGAAAGTAGCGCAATGGGAGAGAGAGCGGCGGAGTGAGATAGGAGAGAGACAGAGAGTAGAGCGGCGGGAGAGAGAGAAATTAACGCGATGGGAGAGAGAGCAGCGCAACGAGATGGGAGAGAGACAGAGTAGCGCAGCAGGAGAAAGCGAGAGAGTAGCGCGATGGGAGAGAGAGAGAGAGAGAGAGAGAGAGAGAGAGAGAGAGAGAGAGAGAGAGAGAGAGAGAGAGAGAGAGAGAGTAGCGAGATGGGAGAGAGACAGAGTAGCGCGGCGGGAGAGAGAGAAAAGCGCGGCTCGATAGAGCGTGTAGCGCCGTGGGAGCGTGTAGAGCGGCGCGACGAGAAAGAGAGCGAGGCGGAGAGCGGATGCGAGTTGCGCTGCGTAAAAAAAGGTGGCGCATGGCGACAGTCTTGCTCCTTTCGACGTGCACTCAACCTCTCCCCATCTCTTCTCACCTCTCTCTTCGTTTATGCGCCTCTTCCCCTCTCTCTCTCTCCGTGCATCCTCCTCTCTCTCTCCGCGCCTCTTCCTCCCTCTCTCCGCGCCTCTTCCTCTCTCTCTCTCTCTCCGCACCTCTTCCACACCTCTCTTCGCGCCTCTTCCTCTCTCTCTCCGCGCCTCTTCCGCTCTCTCTCCGCGCCTCTTCCTCTCTATCTCCGCCCCTCTCCTTCGATTTCGCCAGGGCTTTCCTTCTCACGCTCCCGCTCTGAACACCTCTTCCTCACCGTATTTCTCCCGCTCTCCACACCTCTCACTGCGAGTCTCTCTGTGTGTTGTGGTTTTGGTATTTTGCACTCTGTATTTCACTCGCGTCGTTTTATTTTGCTGGTACTTTGAAGAGATGTGACAGGGAAGTGCGTGCCTTCGGCTCTCAAAATAAAGGTCCTCAGCCCGTCTTTCTCTGGGTAGCGGGATGGCTTTTGATTTGCGAAAATCATGCAAAATGTTCATTCGTAATTTTGTCGCCAACTATCGCACAAACACGAACTGGCCCCCTAACAAAAAACAGTCTCGCAAGTTTCCAACCAACACACTCTTGAGCGGAACTATTTCGAGTTGGGTCCAACTTGAAAAAGGGGTCACTTTTCTACCTTCTCGCTTTAAGGAGATCCCCCCTGTAGCCCTACCAGCACTAGTAGTACACTCAGGGTAGGAAACAAATATACCCTCAATCTCAAGGATTACACTCTGCATTACTCCTTAATCCTCCGGGTTCATAAAACTCCAACCCTTAATTTGTGGGGCCAGCTGAAAAACTACTCTTTATTTTACTCAAATTCAGGGCAACAACCCTTGAAAAATAGGCCCTGGTCCTGGGATGAGGAATGGAACACATTCTGTCATATCGCATTCCCTCGCAATGGATCGCTCGCTTCGCATTCCGCACTTCTAGACAACATCTGTAGGCCAACCAAAGCGGAGAAGCGCAAAAAAACGTTCTCCATCGCGTGGTAACATACTGAACCGTGGTACACGAACAGAAAATGTGCGAGTAGGTATGGGTAGTGTCGCATTCGTTTGCGTTGGATCGCTTCGCATTCTGTACAGCGCTGGCAGAACACCCTCCACCAGTGTGCTCAGGTTATAGGGAATTGCCAACCAGTACCTCCCGACCCGAGGTTCTGTGTCACAGCACAACCTGGACTGAAAGGCCATGCTAGTGTGCTTATTTCTTCATAACATCATCACAACCACGCTCACACATAAACATAATATCACCATTTTGAATGTATTCACCAGCTGAGCTTGTGTATGAAATAACATTAGTTTATTCTTCATTAATATCGCAAAAACGTTTACTTCGTCAAATTGTTGTCAGAGTGCAGCACCTTTTGATCCTAGTTTTCTATGTCTCTCCAGGACATCTTCACACCATTGCAGATCCGAATTCCATGTTTTCACTAGAGGTTTCATAGGAATTCATCATACACACCAGCTACATTGATGATATTACTACTACGAAGTTGACGGGGACCGCATAAATGCGTGTCGCACCATGTCAACTAATCCACCGCGTTTCTCTCTAAGAGGAGCATCTCCCACCTCTGTTGGCAGTGACGAGGTCTTCGTGCGCCGAATAGAGCGAGGCGAGATAGTCACTTCAACGTTTTGAAGGTTAGCTGATCCTGTCGTGGCTGCTCTTTGAAAGGAACGCCGGCTACTATTCCGACTCAGGTCCGCAAACGGGGCATCAATTGAATTGGAGCGGCAGCTGTCTGTGAGATATGCGCCATCGAGATCTTCTGTTACGTCGTCATTACACGTCTCCCGGCTCCACCAGCGTCCAAACGTGGCTGAGTTTCGGCCTTTCGATGCCTGATTATCTTTAGTCGAGAAAGAGCCGGAACTCCTCCCAAAAGCGTCCTGGCATTCTCCCCCGCTAAGTATCTCCGCCGATGATGCTTCCGCCACTCGCGCGCTCAGCTCCGCGGACGCCTGTTGCGCCTCGACGACGGCAAGCGCCGCTCCCCGAATGCGCGACCGAGCGTCGTCGATCCACACAGGGTCGCACGCGAGCTCTGCGATTCGCCATGAGCACGACGGGCATAGCGCCTCGGCACAGCTGAAATCGCGCCGGTCCGCTACGAGCGCAGGACGGGGTGTACAGTGTCCCGCTTGCGCTGTGAAGTTCACGCATTCCGCTTCCCGTACAACCCTTGTAGGACTTGCAGGTTCCATCGCCGAGAGCTGCGACTTTGCATCGAGCCACTGGTACATTTCGTGCCCTCGTGCGCTCGGATAAGGGCTGGCGAATAGGTTGCCGCACTCCCGAGTTTCGCTGTGGCGTTCGAAGCTGCTGAGTGACGGCGTGGAGTCTGGAGAAGAGAGATCACTCGTACAGATCAAATTTTGAGGGGCATCGTAATACGACGTCGTGAGCAAGCACGGCGATCGAGCAGCGCTTGGAAAGCACATGATGGGCACTAGCAAAGTTGTGAGAGCAAGAGTTTGGAACCAGATGTTAATTTGAGTCAATGTGGAGTATGGCTGAGTTCATGGCCTATGTACGGCTGGAGGTCGTGATCAAGTGCCCGTACAAGCAAGGAAGGGGGGGAGTCGTTACTTTACACGTACTACGCGCTTGGCCGTTTCGCACAGTGCAGTCGAACTGTAAAGCTGAAATGCTTATCGCCATGTCCGACGTTACGATGCAAAGAGCCGTCCATCCCTGGACGCAAGGAAGGGAAAGGTGGAGGCTTGTCTCTTTAGAGGCTGCCACCGCCACCACCTCTCTCCCACTGGAGGTCGGTGAGGTGACTCGGTGCGATGCGAAGGGCAATGCCTGCCAAACCCTTGTCCCTATGCTGCGCATGCCTGCAGCATTCATTTCATCACGTTGAAGCTGTTTGGCCGATTTTAGTGCATCAATACTCCAACGAGGATGTGCATCGGGTAACCAGTCTAGATTCGAGTGGGCTTGACCTGGAGGGACCGACCAACCAACAGTTTCGCCGCGCCGCCTGAAGGGTACGCAGCCAGCGAAATGTTACAGCGTCCAACACGTCGTTCTGCAGTCGCTTCCAAGCTCAGCCACTGGGCAGGTCACGAAGCGAAACGAGCGAAGGAACATACCACCGTGCCACTGGTTCGCGTGGCACGGGCGACATAGGATGGGTGGCTGCATCCCACGTGAAGTTTGCATTTCTGCTTGCAGGACACATCAACAAGAACCACTGCTCGACGTCTCGATATAAAATTCTTCTTTATTTTCGTAAGGAATATTTCCACTAAATTTCAGATAAGGGAAGTTTGCTCATGGATGTACCGGGCCTTCACAAAATTTGGAAAGTGGACGTAAGCAATATGTCAGCATTCCATGCTGACATAAGCGTGTGACCAATCCCAGAAGGGTGCGCGCAGACCGCGACGTCACCATTGCGTCAGATCAAGCTCTATTCTGTTTTTCGGTTTCTCCTAAACTGTTGAAGGGGAGACAAGTGTCCATAAAATTCCCTTCGCTCGGCTCCACTTTCGACTGAATAGACATCTGGGGCAGATTGGGCAGCGCAAGTGTCCTCCCACACCTCCTGGCACACTTTCGTCGTCACTTCTAGTGTGGTGGCAGGAAGTGAAGTCAGTACATCGTGGCAATCCTGCCCTGCTGGCGAACCAGAGCAGGACAGTGCAGCGCAGCAATGCCACGTCACAGCTCTCTAGCGTCAACTCCACGCTTTATAAGAATTCCATTCCAAACCCAATCCACTTGACATTTTCTAGATTCTCCGTACAGTAGCCATTTTCCTCCATTGCTACTTCCTGCATTGGATGCCACCATTGATTCAGAATTCAGGTTCAGAGATCAAGTAGCGGTGTGATTTTCCGTTACACCATCAGCAGACCTAAGCAGTGCTCGCTGGTCGGGTAATGCACCCAAGAATCGCAGTTCACGTCGCCTAACCTAAATAGGGAAGCGTAAAGCGCGTGTCAGGTGTCGGTGCTCGTGGTTGGGTCCCTGGTCGTTCGAGTCGAGTGGTATCATTAGTACCAGCCATTCTTTTATGACGCTTCTTGTAGAGTCGGATTCAGAGCGAATGGGGGAAACGTACGGATCCAAGAAGCGTCACGACGACGAATCGGATCGCAATGCGGCTCCGGTGAGCCAGGGAAACATGGATGCTGGGTTTCGCGACGGCGGAAAGCCGTTACTTGACGAGAACGGGGCGGCAGATGACGGCTCTCCGTCATCTGCCGTCTCGGCGACACTGAAGGGTGAGACAGAACCGAGCGGTGATGCGAGCAGCGGCACAAAGGAGAATGAGAACGAAGACGAGGAGGAGGAGGAGCAGAAGGGGCAGAAGGAGGAGGAGGAGAAGAAGAAGAAAAATAAGAAAACGAAAGAGAAGCAGCCGGCGGTGGCGTACTGGCGGCTGTTCTCGTACGCCGACAGCACGGACGTCGCGCTCATGGCGGTCGGCACAGCAGGCGCCGTGCTTCACGGCGCCGCTCTGCCGCTGTCGTTCCTCTTTCTGGGGAAGATGGTGGACTCGTTCGGGACGAACGACCTGTCTGGCGTGAACACTGTAAGGAGATGGTTAGGGCGGGTGGGGGGGACGCGGGGTGGGGGGGACGCGGGGTGGGGGGACGCGGGGTGGGGACGCGGGGTGGAGACGCGGGGTGGGGACGCGTCCCCAACGACCTGGCTGGCGTGAACACTGTAAGAGGACGGTTAGGAGGGGTGGGGTAGGGGGGGGAGGAAGGAGAGGCGGGGATAAATGAGTGGTGCGTGCTGCGCGGCGCCGCTCTGCCACTGTCGTTTGTCTCTTCTTCATGTTTGTCTCTCTCTCTCCCTCTTCAGGCGCCTCAAAAGTCGTCTCTCTCTCTCTCCCTCTTGCGTGCTCACCGTTTTAGATTTGTGTGCCCTTGGTATGCATGTGCGATGGTGCCATGGTGCGGCTGTGTGCATGTGAGGCAGTTTGTCCTGGCGATGGTCTACATTGCACTGTGCTGCTTGGTTGGCGGCTGGCTAGGTAAGACCTGGCCTATAGTTTCTCTGAGAGACCACTCGGTGTGCGTCACGTCACTATGGCATTCACGCTGCATCGTATACCACCGAGAGGCACCATCCACATGATTTCTCTCTATGTGGTCTCTCTAACCAGCATGATTTCTCTAACGCCCATCCCTGCGTTTGGATCCTCAACCTTCAAGCACAGTCTTACCCCTCTCCTTACTCATCCCTCCCCTCTTCTCCCCTTCAGAGGTCTCCTGCTGGATGGGGGGGGGGAGAGAGGCAGAGCGGGAGAGTGCAGCGGCTGTGCCTGCAAAAGCACTGCTGCAGCGGGAGTGTACTGGGGCTATTTTTCGCACTGCTCTTCTCCCCCCCCCCCCCTGCCATCCCACCCTCTCCCCCCCGTCAGATGTCTCTTGCTGGATGCACACCAGAGAGAGGCAGATTGTGAGGGTGCGGCGGCTGTACCTGCAAAAGCACTGTTGCGGCAGGAGAGTAGTGGGGTATTGTTTTCTCACTTCTCTTCTCCAACTTCCCTGCCATCCCTCCCCCTTCTCCCCCAGAGGTGTCCTGCTGGGTGCACATGGGAGAGAGGCAGCGCGCGAGGGTGCCGTGGCTGTACCTGTAGGCTCTGCTGCGGCAGGAGAGTCATGGAGCCGTCTTTCTCACTTCTCTTCTCCACTTCTCCTGCCATCCTTCCCCTCTCCTCCCCAACAGAGGTGTCCTGCTGGATGCACGCGGAGGAGAGGCAGAGTGCGAGGGTGCGGCGGCTGTACCTGCAGGCGCTGCTGCGGCAGGAGAGTGGGGACTTACACATTACCCTGTTCTTCTTTCCCTCCTCCCCTCTCCTCCCCTCCAGAGGTCTCTTGCTGGATGCACACGGGGGAGAGGCAGAGCGCCAGAGTACACCGGCTGTACCTGCAGGCGCTGCTGCGGCAGGAGGTGGCGTTCTTCGACCTAGAGGCGTGCTCGGGGGAGCTGGTCAGCCGGGTGTCTTCAGACGTTCTCCTGCTGCAAGACGCCATATCTGAAAAGGTGAGAGAATCGGCTTGCTGCTGGTAGTGCCTCCAGTGCCGCTTCTAGCCGCGGTGCTGCGGCAGGAGGTGGCGTTCTTGGATGCAGAGGCATGATCACGAGATCATCTAAGGGAAGGTGAGTGTATGAGCGTGTGAGCATCCCATGGTTGGTTGATAGTAGCTCTTCTGGCGCCGCTTCTAGCCGCGGTGTTGCAGCAAGAGATGGCATTCTCGGATCCAGAGGCGTGATCAGGAAGGAGAGCATCTGAGGGAAGGCGAGTGTGTGAGCGTGTGAGCATCCCCTGGTTGGTTGGTAGTAGCTCTTCTGGTGCTGCTGCTAGCGGCGCTGCTGCTGTCCCCTTCCCAAACAGGGGGGCAACTGCTTGCATTACCTCTCCTCTCGTGTCCACCCTCTCGTTCCATCCCTGTACCTGCTGTGCTGACCCCTCCCCCTCCCAACCAGGTGGGCAACTACCTGCACTACATCTCAACGTTCGTCTGTGAAAAAAATCTCCGGCTTCACCAGCGTGTGGCAGCTGGCGCTGGTGGTTCTCGCTCTATCCGCATATTACCTCATTCAACCCCCCTCAATGCCTCCTTCCTCCCTACCCCCTCCCCCCCCCAACCCCTTCCTCCCCCTCCCAACCAGGTGGGCAACTGCCTGCACTACATCTCGACATTCGTGTGGGGCTTCATCGTCAGCTTCACCAGCGTGTGGCAGCTGTCGCTCGTGATTCTCTCTCCATCCGCAAGCCACCTCCTTCAAACCCCCTCATTGCCTCTTTTCTTCCCTCCCCTCCCCCTCCCTCCCCCCCCCCCCCCCCTCCTCCCCCGGGGCTACCTTCATCTGCGGATTCATCGTTGGCTTCACCAGCGCGTGGCAGCTGGCGCTATTCCCTCCCTCAAATCAAGCTCCCTCATTGCCTGCTGCTCTTCCCTCCCTCCCCCCCTCTCAACCACTAGGTCGGCAACTGCCTGCATTACCTCGCTACCTTCATCTGTGGCTTCATCGTTGGCTTCACCAGCGTGTGGCAGATGGCGCTCGTGATTCTCGCCGTCTGTCCACTCATAATCGCCACTGGAGGGATCTATGCAGCTATCTTGACCGGCCTTACCAGCAAAGGGGAAAAGGCGTATATCGAAGCAGGGAAGATTGCCGAGCAGGTAAGGCCCTTCCCTCCCAGGCATGCCCCTCCCCTCTGAGGTAAGCCCCTCAGCTCACAGCGTGGCAGCTGGCGCTGGTAATGCTCGCCGTGTGTGTCCGCACATCATCGCGACAGGGGGAATCTATGCTGCCGTGCTCACGGGTCTCACAGGCAAAGGCGAGAAGGCGTACATCGAGGCGGGGAAGATTGCCAAACAGGTATGCCTCTCACTTATCAGGTAAGCCCCTCTGCTCACAGCGTGGCAGCTGGCGCTGGTGGTTCTCGCCGTCTGTCTGTCCGCATATCATTGCCACAGGAGGAATCTATGCAGCCGTGCACACTTGCCTTACCAGCAAGGGCGAGACGGCGTATATCGAAGCCGGGAAGTCCGCTGAACAGAACACGTATGGTGTGCTTCCCCTCCTCTCGTGTCTGCCCCCCAGCTCACAGTGTGGCAGCTTGTGGTAAGCCCCTCCCCTCTGAGGTATGCCCTTCAGCATGCGGCAACTGGCGCCGGTAGAGTCTCGTCTCGCCGTGTGTGCAGGCGCTCATCATCGACAGAAGCACATATGACTGCACCGTGTGTTTGCGCCTGTGTTTCTGTCCTCTCCCTATCTGTGCAGGATGTGGGGCAGGTGCGCACGGTGCAGTCATATGTGGCCGAGGACCGGACAGTGGAGGCGTATGCCCACCTGCCACCTTGTCTTATGTGTCCCCCCATCTGGCCCCGGTGCTTCTGTCCTCTCTCGCCTTCCCTTCTGCAGGCTGTGGGGCAGGTGCGCACGGTGCAGTCATATGTGGCCGAGGACCGCACAGTGGAGGCGTATGCCCGCGCACTCACACACACTTTCAAACTCGGAGTGAAGGTGTGCTCACGGACACTCCCTACACAATCTCCAAGCACTTTCACTTTCAACTTGCTACTCGAGTTCGTACAGTTCGTACACTTTCAATAAAAGGCACACAATGCATTCTGTGCCAGCAGCAGCGTCGGCAATGGCGGCGCCATCCTGATGACGTCACCATGTTCGCTGTGGCCCTTGCCAGCCTGGTTTTTGAGGCGCCTAAAAAATAGACCCCCTCACTCTGTGGCCCTTGCCAGCCTGGGGCTCAGGCAACGGCGCTCACTCACTCACTCACATCCTCTCCTCCCTCTCCCTCCCCTCCCTCTCTCCCCTCCTCCCACTAGTCCCAAACAACCAGGTCGGAATCGCCAAGGGCCTGGATCTGGGACCCTTATAACTCCCCGTGTTTGCGTCCTTCGCCCCCATGTTCTGGTTCCCTCCTCTGCTCCCCATCTCTCCTCTCCCCCCCCCTATTCCCAAACAACCAGGTCGGAATTGCCAAGGGCCTGGGTCTGGGCGCCCTGTATGCGCTGTTTTTTGCGTCCTTCGCGCCCATGCTCTGTTTCTCGGCCTCCTCGCCGCCCAAGGCATCGGCAACGGGGGTGCTATCCTAACCACCATGTTCGCGGTGGCCCTCGGCAGCCTGGGCTCGGGCAAGCAAGGGTGCTCACTCACACTCGCATCCTCTTCCTCCCTCTTCTTCCTCCCTCTTCTTCCTCCCTCTTCCGCCCCCGTTTTCTGACAAACAGGGTGGCATAGCCAAGGGGCTGGGTCTGGGCGCCCTGTACGGGCTGTTCTTTGCGTCCTTCGCACTCATGTTCTGGTTCTCGGGGGTTCTAATCGCCAACAACATAGGGAATGGGGGCGCCATTCTGACCACCATGTTCGCCGTGGCCCTCGGCAGCCTTGGGCTCGGGCAGGCGCTGCCCAACGTCACTGCCTTTGCCAAGGGGCAGGTCGCTGCGTACAAGATCTTTGAGACCATAGCGAGACGGCCGGCGATTGGTGGGGGTTGGGAGGAGGGGGAGGGGGGAGGGGAGGGTGGGGGGAAGGAGTTGGGAGCGGTGGAAGGGAGAGTGGAGTTTGAGGGCGTGTGCTTTGCGTACCCGGCTCGACCCGAGGTTCCTATATTCCAGGTGGGCAGAGTCTGAGTCGGCTCAAAAGTCACCTCAAAAGCAGTGCAAGGGCGAGTGCGAGTGCGAGTGCGAGGGCGAGGGCGAGTGCGAGGGCGAGTGCGAGTGAAGTTCGTTTAGTGCGTGCGCTTTTAAAATTCCGCCCTCACTTCCTCCCTTACTTCGTCCCTCATCACTCCCTCCCTCCCTCTCCTCCCCCTCCTCCTGTAGCACTTCTCCCTTTCAATCCTCGATGGCTCCGTAGTCGCCCTAGTCGGCGCCATGGTGGCGTTGATTCTCAAATCAGTGTGCATTCTCCGTGTCTTCTTCCCTGCTGGCGCCATGGTGGCGTTGATTCCCTTCCCGTCCAGGACGTCTCCCTCTCGAACCCTGCTGGCACCACAGTGGAGCAGTGTGCATTCTCTGTCTTCTCAAAGGGGAGAAGCAGTGTCTTATTCCCTGTTCCCTTCCCGTCCAGGACGTCTCCCTCTCGAACCCTGCTGGCACCACAGTGGAGCAGTGTGCATTCTCTGTCTTCTCAAAGGGGAGAAGCAGTGTCTTATTCCCTGTTCCCTTCCCGTCCAGGACGTCTCCCTCTCGAACCCTGCTGGCACCACACTCGCTCTGGCCGGCCCTTCAGGCAGCAGCAAGTAAACCGTGGCGGCGCTCGTTCAGATAGCAGCATGCACTTTCCTTCCCTCTCTCCTCCTCCCTCCCCCTCCTCCTTCCCCACCCTCAGGAATTTTGCCTCTCGATCCCTGCTGGCAAAACAGTCGCTCTGGTCGGCCCCTCGGGCAGCGGCAAGTCAACCGTGGTGGCGCTCATTCAGCGCTTCTATGACCCGTCAGCTGGCGCCGTGTCATTGGACGGCGCGGATCTGCGCCAGCTCAGCCTGCCGTGGCTGCGATCCCAGCTCGGGCTAGTCAGCCAGGAGCCGTCTCTCTTTGCTACAAGGTAAGCTGGTCACAGGGAGTGTGGGAGTGGAGTTGAGCCGAGTGGGGCACTGGACAAGGCACAGGGGGGATAGTGTGGATCTGCGCCAGCTCAGCCTGCCGTGGCTGCGGTCGCAGCTGGAGCTGGTCAGCCAGGAGCCCTGGCTCTTTGCCACGAGGTGAGTTGACCCATGTGCTGAGCTGATGCTTGGTACACGCTGCAGGGGGTATAATGCGGATATGTAGCAGTGCGGCCTGCCGTGGCTGCGGTCCCAGCTGGGGCTGGTCAGCCAGGAGCCTTCTCTGTTTGCCAGGAGGTGAGTTGGTGGACAACGCGCTGATGCATGCTGCTTGATGCTTGCTTCGCCACAAGGAGGGCGACTGTGGAGTCTCCTCACTCGCCCTTTCAACCCGTCCCTTCCGCAGGCTTCTTGAGAGCATTCCGTGCGGTAAGGGAGTGTCTCAAGAGTACGATTCTCGTATTGAGACGCGCCCAAAGGCTATCAAGGCATCACTGTCTCCCTTTCTCACTCCCATTCCCTCCCTTCTCACCATCTTGAAGAGCGTTCCGTATGGCAAGCAGGACGCATCGCAGGAGGGTTCAAAGCTTATGAGGAGCCTCAAATGTAGTTGTCTCTCGAACGCTTGTTTATTTTCTCACCCTCTCTCCCAAGCGGCATTCTGGAGCGCATTTGGTACGGCAAGCAGGACGCAACACAGGAGGAGGTGGAGGAGGCAAGCAAACTGCCGTCAGCCTTTTCTACAAGCATTTGGTATCCCGGGCCTTACCCTTCTCCCTCTCTCCCGCCCTTCTCAGCATTCTGGAGAACATTCGGTACGGCAAGGAGGACGCAACGCAGGAGGAGGTGGAGGAAGCATCGAGGATTGCCAACGCGCACTCGTTCGTGCGGGCGCTGCCCCATGGGTACAGCACGCAGGTGAGGAGGGGATGCCTCCCAGGTACAGCACCCGGGTACAGCACCCAGGTACAGCACCCAGGTACAGCGCCCAGGTACAGCACCCAGGTACAGCGCCCAGGTACAGCACCCAGGTACTTGGTCGCCTGTAGCATGTGGTGTGAGGGGCTTCGGAACAGGGGCGCCAACCCGCACTCGTTCGTGCGGGCGCTGCCCCATGGGTACAGCACGCAGGTGAGGAGGGGATGCCTCCCAGGTACAGCACCCGGGTACAGCACCCAGGTACAGCACCCAGGTACAACACCCAGGTACAGCGCCCAGGTACAGCACCCAGGTACAACACCCAGGTACAACACCCAGGTACAGCGCCCAGGTACAGCACCCAGGTACTTGGTCGCCTGTAGCATGTGGTGTGAGGGGCTTCGGAACAGGGGCGCCAACCCGCACTCGTTCGTGCGGGCGCTGCCTCACGGGTACAACATGCAAGTGAGGAGGGGATGCCCCACAGGTACAGCATTCCGGTATAGCGCCCAGGTACAGCTCCCAGGTACAGAGCCCAGGTACAGCACCCAGGTACAACACCCAGGTACAACACCCAGGTACAACACCCAGGTACAGCGCCCAGGTACAACACACAGGTACTTGATCGCCTGTAGCATGTGGTGTGCGGGGCTTCGGAACAGGGGTGCCAACGCTCACTCGCTCGTGCGGGCGCTGCCCCACGGGTACAACACGCAGGTGAGAGGTTCTGTGTTGGTAGTTGGAAACCGTCTGGAGGGAAGATCAGTCTAGTTTTGAGGCGCCTTATAACGCGAATGTTGTGGCAGCCCAGAGGGGGAACAGGCAGGAAGTTGTCATTCGCAAAGCCAGAGCTTGCAAGCACGTGAGCCCCCTCTTCTACCCTCCTCTCCTTTCCACCTCCCCCCCACATGATACACCAGGTGGGCGAGCGCGGAGTGCAGCTGTCAGGAGGCCAGAAGCAGCGCATTGCCATCGCCCGAGCCGTCATCCGCAACCCGCGCGTGCTGCTATTGGACGAGGCCACGTCCGCGCTGGACAGCGAATCGGAGCGCGCGGTTCAGGCCGCGCTGGACGGCGGACTCATGAGGGGGAGATCGACGGTTGTGATCGCGCACCGGCTGTCTACGATAAGACATGCGGATAAGATCGCCGTTGTGGCGGGGGGGAGGGTGGTGGAGGAGGGGAGCCATGAGGAGTTGATGGCTCTTGGGGGGAAGGGGAAGGGGGAAGGGGAAGGGGAAGGGGAAGGGGAAGGGGAAGGGGGGAGGAAGGGCGGGGGTGTGTATGCTAATCTGGTGCGGCTGCAGATGGTAACCGGGCAGGATGCACCAACCAATCAGGGCTTAGCATTGCAAGCAGACGACCCTCATGCTGCTGACGTGGACCAATCAGGAGAGGAGGAGGATGTAGGGCGAAAGATCTCTCTGGCTCTGAGCTCGCTCTCAGAGACGTCCCTGCCACGTGGGCACAGTGGGCTTGGTGCTGACGTGGGCACTGCTGACGTGGACCCAGAGGAAAGAACCGAGGAGGAGGAGGAGGAGGAGGAGGAAGGGGAGGGAGTGGAAGGGGGAGGGAGGGGGAAGAGAGTGTGGGGTGAACTGAGGAAGGTGTTACCTGCCCCCCTCAGGGGCTTGCTGCCTGGGGGCAAGAAGAGAGGGACGAAAGGGGAGGGAGGTGAAAAGGAGGGGTTGGGGGGAGGAGATGGAGAGAAAGGAGAGGAAGCAACAGTAGAGGCGGGGCGACCTAAGGCGACGTGGTGGCGGCTGGCTGCGATGAGTGCAGCAGAGTGGCCGTTCACTGCACTGGGCGTGGCGGGTGCTGTCTTGGCAGGCGCGTTCAACCCCGTGTATGCGCTGCTGCTGATCGATGTGAGTGTGACTAGTGCACGTGTGATTATGGTGCGAGTGTGCTGCTGATCGGCGGGAGTGGGACACTTGTAGTGCGTGTGTGTGTGACTGACTAGTGCATGTATGAGTGGAGTGTGCGTGGCTGGCTGCGATGAGCGCAGCAGAGTGGCCGTTTCCTGCACTGGGTATGGCAGGTGCTATCATGGCAGGCGCGCTCAACCCCGTGTATGCGCTGCTGCTCGTTGACGTGAGTGGGGTGGGAGGCTACAGTGCATGTGCATGGGAGTGGGGCTAAGGGCATGTGCATGTGTGAGTGTGGTGTGTAGTGTTTGCAGGTCGTGGCCTCCCTTCCCTTCTTCCTCTCCCTCTCCTCACAGGTCATAGCAGCGATCTACAACCCCGACACAGACGAGATGCAGCGGCAGGCCAACAAGTGCGCCATAGTGCTGGCCTTATCTGCTGCCCCCTCCCCTCCCCCACTCTCCTCACAGGTCATAGCAGCGCTCTACAACCCCGACACGGACGAGATGAAACGGCAGGTCAACAAGTGGGCCGTACTGTGTCCGTCTCAATTCATCTTTCCCGTTTTATTATCATCTCTGGCCACCCTCCTTCCTCCTCTTCAGGTCATAGTGGCACACTACAACCCCGACATGAACGAGACGAAGCGGCAGGTCAACAAGTGGGCCACAGGGTGTTAGTCTCACCTCACCTTTCCCCCGCATTCCCTTCTCCTTTCTCACCCTCGCCACTCGTCTTCCTCCTTTTCAGGTCATAGCAGCGCTCTACAACCCCGACACGGACGAGATGAAGCGGCAGGTCAACAAGTGGGCCATCGTGTTCACCGGGCTCGGCGTGCTGTCCCTGCCGGTGCACACAGTGCAGCACTACGGCTTCGGGGTGTCGGGGGAGGCGCTGGTGAAGCGGGTTCGAGAGAAGATGCTGGCAGGTGAGTGGGGGTGCTGGGTGGCGGTAACAAGCGGGCCATAGGTGTTTACAGGAGTCTAGTTTTGAGGCGCCGCAAAACGGTAACAAGTGGGCCATGGCCCATAGGTGCTCACAGGGCTCGGCCTGCTGGGAGGTGGGTGAGGAAGAGGGCGGGGGGAAGAGAGGAGGGGAAGAAGGGGGGGGGCGGCGGGGGAGAAAGAGGAGGGGGCTCTGGTGAGGGGGGGCTGTGGTGAGAAGGGTTGTGGTGCGAGGTGGTGCTGTGGGTTGTAGCCTGGGGACTCGGCCATCCTTCGCAACGAGATAGCATGGCTCGATCCAAGACGCCAACGCCAGCGGAGCCATCGCGTCACGACCAGCCACCGACGCCACTTTAGTCTAAGCAGCTGTGGCGGGCCGAACCGAATGATAATTGCTGCTCCCTCCGTCTTCCTTTCTCTCCCTCCCCTCCCTTATGCAGCCATCCTTCGCAACGAGGTGGCGTGGTTCGATCAAGACGCCAACGCCAGTGGCGCCATCGCCTCGCGACTAGCCACCGACGCCACTCTGGTCAAGGCAGCCGTGGCGGACCGGATCGCTCTGGCAACGCAGAATCTCTCGGTGGTTGTGATTGCGTTCGTGATCGGGTTCGTGGTGGAGTGGCGCGTGGCGTTGGTGGTGATTGCGACCTTTCCGCTCTTGGTCTTCGCGGCTCTTATGGAGGTGAGTGAGCCTGGTCGCTGGGACCAGTACTGCCCTTGAGCTTGCCGTGGCGGACCGGATCGCTCTGGCAACACAGAATCTCTCGGTGGTTGTGATTGCGTTCGTGATCGGGTTCATGGTGGAGTGGCGCGTGGCTCTGGTGGTCATTGCCACGTTCCCTCTGCTGGTGTTTGCAGTGCTCATGGGGGTGAGGGGGTAGTGGGCACAACCACGAGACATTCTGCATGGCTCAAAGAATAGCTCTCTCCACGCAGAATGTCTCGGTGGCTGGGATTGCAATTGTGATCCGGTTTGTGGTCTTTGCTCGTCTTTGCTGCTCTTATGGAGGTGAGTGATCTTGCAGAGAGCAGTGGTCTTGAGTGATCTCATCACCCCCTCGAGCTTGCCGTGGGGTGAGGTGAAGTCACAACACCAACCCCCTCTCCTCTTCTTCCATCACCCCATTGGTCACCAACACCCCATCCCCTCCTTGCAGCAACAATTCCTAGCCGGGTTCGCTGGCAACCAGAGCGCCTCGCACGCGCGCGCAACAACAGTGGCAGCAGAAGCAGTGGCAAACATCCGCACTGTAGCAGCATTCAACGCCCAGGACAAAGTCCTCGCACTGTTCACTGCCAGGCTGGCGGGCCCGCTAAGGCGCTCCTTTCTTCGCGGGCAAATTGGGGGGGCAGGTTTCGGGCTAAGCCAGTTTTTTATGTATGGCTCCTATGCGCTTGCGCTGTGGTTCGGGTCGACTTTAATTCCCAATACGGCGTCCTATGGGGATGTACTTAAAGCCTTTATGGTGCTGATTATGACGTCCATGGCTATAGCTGAGAGTATTACGCTTGCGCCGGATATTGCCAAGGGAAGCGTGGCCATTAGATCGGTTTTCAAGACCACCGATCGGACGCCCAGGATTCTTTCGGATGATCCGACGGCTGAGGTGGTTTCTACTGTTCGGGGGGAAATTGAATTCCGATCTGTTTCTTTCGCCTACCCGACCCGCCCGGGAGCGCCCGTGCTGAAAAACTTTTCTCTCCGGGCAGCTCCGGGAAAGATGCTGGCGCTGGTGGGCCCTTCGGGCAGCGGAAAAAGTTCTCTGGTGGCCCTGGTGGAGCGGTTTTACGATCCGACGGCTGGTAGTGTGCGAGTGGATGGGGAGGACATCCGGACCGTCCATCTGAAGACGCTGCGATCCTTTATCGGGCTGGTCAGCCAGGAGCCGGCTCTATTCGCCACCAGGTGAGCCTCTTATGGTGCATAGTCGTTATGCGGTGCAGGTTACTCCGGTTCTGCTGCCTTGGCCACAGGGGGCACTGGCATTTCCAGTGTGAGTGCAAACCCTTATGCTCATCATCACTTCCCATCAATTCCTGGTTTTGTTTCGCCACCCTGGTTTTGTTTCGCCGCCCTGCTTTTGTTTCGTGCACGCCCCATGCCATTCTCCCTGGTTCTATTCCCATGCCCCCTCTGCAGCATCCGTGGGAACATTCTGTATGGTCAGCCAGACGCAACCGAAGCAGAGGTGGTGGAAGCAGCACGGGCTGCCAACGTGCATGGTTTCATCAGCGGTCTGCCCCAGGGCTACGACACGCAGGTGAGGGAGCTGTTCTTTCGTACATCGGTGATGCATGCAGCTGAGCGACAGTTGATGTAGTTGCCACACAGCAGAGGTGGTGGAGGCAGCAAGAGCAGCCAGCGTGCGTGCGTCCATAAGCTGTCTGCCCCAGGGCTGCGACACGCAGGTGAGGGAGCTGCTCTCATTCAAATCAGATGCAGCTGAGGCATCCAACGCGGGCTGCCAACGTCCATGGGTTCATTAGCAGTCTCCCCCACCTGCGTGGATGGGGATATGCTCCCCCAGGGCTATGACACGCAGGTGAGGGGTCCACATACAAGCATGGTTCGTGGTGAGGGGGCCGCATACAAGCATGGTTCGTGGTGAGGGGTCCGCATACAAGCATGGTTCGTGGTGAGGGGGCCGCATACAAGCATGGTTCGTGGTGAGGGGGCCGCATACAAGCATGGTTCGTGGTGAGGGGGCCGCATACAAGCATGGTTCGTGGTGAGGGGGGCGCATACAAGCATGGTTCGTGGTGAGGGGGCCGCATACAAGCATGGTTCGTGGTGAGGGGGCCGCATACAAGCATGGTTCGTGTACTTGAGACACACAGCAGGTGGTGGAGGCAGCAAGAGCAGCCAGCGTGCATGGGGTTCATAAGTGGTCTGCCCCAGGGCTATGGCACGCAGATGAGGGAGCTGCTCTTGCATGCAGCTATGAGGGGGCTATGGCTGATGAAGCTATCTCTCACCTGCGGAGAGATGGCTGATTTGACCTCCCCCCACTCTCCCCACCCCCCCTCTCTTCCCATCTCACTTGCAGGTGGGAGAGCGGTGAGTGCAGCTGTCAGCTCACCCCTTATCAAAGCACCCCCTTTCTCTGCCCCCCGCTCCCCCCTTCTTCACAGCTGACTTGCAGGTGAGAGTGCAGCTATCTGGGGGCCAGAAGCAGCGCATTGCTGTCGCCCGGGCCATTCTCAGAGTCCCGGCCATGCTGCTGCTAGACGAGGCCACTCATCCCACTCTCCTCTTCCTCCCCCCACCCTTCCCCTTACTAACCACGCAGGAGGGGGAGAGAGGAGTGCAGCTGTCAGGAGGGCAGAAGCAGGGCATCGCCATCGCCCGAGCCTTTCTCGTATTCCTGGCCATGCTGCTGCTAGACAAGGCCACTCATCCCACTCTCCTCCCACCCTTCCCCCACCCTTCCCCCGACTAACCACGCAGGTGGGAGAGAGAGGAGTGCAGCTGTCAGGAGGCCAGAAGCAGCGCATCGCCATCGCCCGGGCTATTCTCACAGACCCGGCTATTTTGTTGCTAGACGAGGCCACGTCAGCGCTGGACGCGGAGTCTGAGCTGGCGGTCCAGTCAGCACTGAACCGCATCATGATTGGCCGTACCACGATCGTTGTCGCGCACCGGCTGTCCACCATCTGCCATGCGGACTGCATCGCTGTGCTGCAGGTAGGAGGGGACATAGGAGGGGAGATGCGAGGGGGGAGAGGGAGGAGGGAGAGAGGGTGGGAGGTGAGTAAGTGGCGCACCACCTCTCCACCATCCCCCATGCGGACCGCATCGCTGTGCTGCAGGTGAGGGGGAGAGGGCAGATAAGAGGGAGAGGGAGGGAGGGATGAGAGAGGAAGGGAGGTGAGTATCTGTCACACTGGCAGATAGGGGGGGATGGTGGCTGTCCACCATCTGCCATGCGGACAGCATCGCTGTGCTGCAGGTGAGGTGGGGAGGGTAGAAAGGAGGGAGAGGGAGGGGGGGATGAGAGAGGAAGGGAGGTGAGTAACTGTCACACCGGCAGATAGGGGGGAGTGGTGGTTGATCACCATCTGCCACGCGGACTCCATTGCTGTGCTTCAGGTGAGAGGGGACATCGGGGGCAGAGAGGCGAGGGGGGAGAGGGAGGAGGGGGGAGAGGGAGGAGGGGGGAGAGGGTGGGAGGTGAGTAAGCGGCGCACTGGCTGTCCACCATCTGCCATGCGGACAGCATCACTGTGCTGCAGGCGAGGGGGAGAGGGCAGATAGGAGGGAGAGGGAGGGGGGGAAAGGAGGGGGGAAGGAGAGTGGGAGGTGAGCTTTTGGCGCCATCTTTCCACCATCTGCCATGCGGACTGCATAGCTGTGCTGCAGGTGAGAAGGGAGAAAACATAGGGGAGAGAGGGAGGAGGGGGAGAGGGTGGGAGGTGAGTAAGTAGCGCACCGCCTCTCCACCACCTCCCACAAGGTGAGTTTTGAGTCGACTCAAAGCTCACCTCCCCGCCATCTCCCACGCGGACTGCGTTGCTGTGTTGCAGGTGAGGCCGGAGAGAGAGGGGGCGGGGCGGGGGTGAAGGGGGTCTGTGCTTGTTTTGGGAACAAAGTGGGGGGTGAAGCATGGGGGGTGAAGCATGGGGGTTGAAGCATGAGGGGTGAAGCATGAGGGGTGAAGCATGGGGGGTGAAGCATGGGGGGTGAAGCATGGGGGGTGAAGCATGGGGGGTGAAGCATGGGGGGTGAAGCATGGGGGGTGAAGCATGGGGGGTGAAGCATGGGGGCTGAAGCATGGGGGGTGAAGCATAGGGGGTGAAGCATGGGGGGTGAAGCATATGCGTGTTTAGGTGAGTACTTGAGTAGCCTGGCCTTAAGGGGTGGCTGAATTCAGGCCATATGCAACCATCTTGTCTATTTATCAGCTGTCTCTGCTCTCTGCTCAATGCTCCGTGTGTGGTGCAGGATGGGAAGCTGGTGGAACAGGGCACTCATATGGAGCTCATAGGTGTACATAATGGTGCTTATGCCACTTTAGTGCAATTGCAACAAAGGAATAAAGTGGCCTTGTGATGGCTTACTTATTGTATTGTAAGTTCTGTAGAATGAATGGTCCTGTAGTGAAGCATATGGCACAATCAAGACTCCATGCCTAAGACCGAACGTAACGATTATGGGTACCATCTTATTTAGGAATAGACTTACAACACATTCATTGTCTTCTTGTAGCGAACTTGATGCATAACTTATATGAAAGGTTTCTAGGTGTAATTATTCAGGCCTTGTTCTTATTTAATTGAACAGCTGGTTGCTTTACCAGCTCGAATGCCCCCTTCACAAGACCAGAAGAGACGGTTATAGTATCAGAATTGAAAATTGAATTGATGGTAAAGTGAGAGTACACACAAATATACCTAAGTGTTGTACCCTCTAAGAGGTAACCCTATACAGTCTATACAAACATGACAAATGCAGATGTTTGACACACCCCCTAGACTGCATAGGGGAATACCCTAAACAAGCAGCTCAGGGCGGCACTACTAGTCCAACCTCTGAGACAAGGGTCTGAGAGACCAGTCAGAAGGAGTACAGACAAGGCAAGAACAAGATCAGGGCGGCACTACTAGTCCAGCCACTGGGAGAGGACATAAGTCCAGTCCGAGTATACATATAAAGGACAGTACAAGTCAAGGTCCTAGCAAGTGAGAAGCGACAGGAACTAGACCAAGCTGTACACAGTGCCGCTGATGATCTTTAGGCGCAAGAGCCTTCGTAAAGATATCAGCTGTGTTGGCACCTGAGGCCAAGTGTACTACGCGAGCCTGACGTCGCTGCTGTAGCTCACGCAGGAGGAAGTACCGCAGCTGAATGTGCTTCGCTCTGCCCTCGAGTCGAGGCTCCTGACACAGGAGGATCATGGCCCTGTTGTCAGCGAACAGGACCGGGGCAGAGCTAGGCCGCTCACCTAAGTCAGTGAGCAAGAAGGTCAGCCAGCGGAGCTCCTGTGCCGCCATGGCACCGGCGTAGATCTCAGCCTCACAGCTGGACTGTGCAACAGACGAGGAGCGAGTAGCTCTCCACGAGACGGCACCTGAGCCAAGGCTGAAGCAGTAGCCCTGGGTAGACCTGAGTGTCTCAGCGTCGTCTGCCCACGAAGCGTCTGTGTGTCCAGTAAGGACCACTGGCCTGCGTCCTCCAAGCACTAACCCCATGCCCGACGTACTAGCAAGATAACGCAGAACCCTCTTAGCGGCAGACCAGTGCTGCGGTCGGTGTCTGCCTGTGGCCACAAAGCGCGCCAGGATGCTGAGAGGGTATGCGAGATCTGGGCGAGTGCAAGTCATCAGGTACATGAGGCAACCCACCAGCTCTGCGTAGGGGCCACTGGGCTCTACCACCTCCTCAGGTACTGGAGCGGAGAGTCTGTGGTCTACAGGCAGAGGGGTGGGCTGTGCAAAGGAGAACTGAAGGCTGAACCTCTGAAGGACCTGGCGCACCAAGTGTGACTGAGTCAGGGTGATGGTGCGCGCAGCTCTGTCCCTGGAGATCTGCAAGCCAAGGTAACGGCGCAGTTCTCCAAGGTCAGTGCAGGTGTGTCTCTTCAGCAGCTCTGCCTTCACGGAGGCCAGTGCGTCCCTGTCTGCCGTGGCAAAGACCAGGTCGTCGACGTAAACAAGGATGTAGAACGGAGTCTGGCCAGCACGAACGAAGAGTGAAGGGTCTGCGGAAGACGGAAAGAACTGCAGGTCAGCAAGGGTAGCACGAAGAGTGTCGTGCCACTCACGGGGAGCCTGGCGCAGGCCGTAGACGGGGCGCCGCAGGAGCCACTGGGTCCCAGGAGGGAAGGTGCCAGTAAAGCCCGGAGGGCGACGCAGGTAGACCTGCTCGTGTAGGCTGCCCTGAAGGAAGGCAGTGGAGAAGTCGAGGGAGTGAAGCTCGTAGTCACGCTGAGCAGCTACGTGTAACAGAACCCGAAGAGTAGTCATCTTCGGGGTCGGAGCGAAAGTCTGGAAGAAGTCCACCCCCTCGCGCTGACTGAAGCCTCTAGCAACATAGCGCACCTTGAAGACAGGCGGCTCTCCAGGAGGGCGCTTCACCTTGAAGAGCCAGCGGCCATCGACTACGTTCACCCCAGGTGGGGGAACTGCGTCGACGAAGGTGCCGGTGGATCTCCAAGATGCCATCTCCTGCTCCATGGCAGCTATCCACTGTGAGGCCCAGGGTCCCGAAGTCGCCTCAGCGTAAGTGCGAGGGGTCGGGATGTCGAAAGCGTCTGGGTCACCCTCAGGGACTAGCAGCATGGAACAGAGATGGGGAGCAGCCTCGGAGAGGAAAGCAAGCTCGAACTGGCGGTCCTCCAGGACGTCACTGCCAAGGGCAGGAGCACCCCCGACAGACGGAGGACAGGCAGGGTCAGAGACCAGAGCGGTGGCGTAGTCAAGGCGGCGGGTAGAGGCGAAGTCAGCGACAGCAGCGACAAGAGCGTCAAGGCACGAGACCGGAACAGACGGGTCGGTAACGAGAGAGGCAAGGATCCGAGGGACGAGAGGACGAGCGGCACGAAGGTAGTCGGACAGCGGGGGGGGCGCAACAACAAGGGAGGACGGAGGAGGCGACGGGAGAAGGGGAGGACAAGACGCGTGGGAACGAAGCAACATAGGGTGGGAGCGCAAGACAGGCGAGGCAGGACGAGCACGGGAGGGGCGGTGAGACCAGACGTGCGACGGAGGAGTCGGGTCAGGAGACAGGGGAGGGGACACAGGAGGGGAACGAGGGGGGAGACGAGCTGGGGACGAGTCCGGCGGAGGGAAAACAGGGCCGTAGACAGGAAGAGGAGGAGACGGTCGGGGAGGAACCGACGCAGGGTCGGGGGACGGAAGGCCGAGCAGGCGAAGGGCGGACACCGGCGGGGACCGCTGCTGCGGCGGCACAACGGCGACACCTGGACCGCAAGCTGCTCCTCGGCGACCACCGGCACTCTCCACACCAGCACCCCAAGAGGGACCACCCCCAGGGCGACCGGGGCGAGCACCCCCAGAGTCGGCGAACGGGGGCTGCGACGGCGGCGGCGGCGGCGGCGGAGGCGACGGCGGCGGCGGCGGCGACGACGACGGCTGCAGCAGCGGTAGGGGCGGTGGAGGAGGGGACTGGGGAGGGGACACCTGGGGAGGGGCGGCCGGCGAGGACTGCACAGGAGGGCCACCAGAGGCAGAAGGCTCCTCAACCGGGTCCACGGACGGAAGGGGGGTGACGTGGGACACACCAGAGGGGGCGGGACGGGGAGGAGGAGGAGGAGGGGCAGGGACTACCGGGGAAGGGGTGACCAGGAACAGGGGGGGGGTAACCGGGGGACCACGGTGGGGAAAGCGGCGGTAGTAGGAGGCGGACTCGTCAAAGGTGACGTCACGAGAGTGAAAGAAGCGGTGAGACGGCGGGTGGTAAAAGTGCCAGTCGGACGCGTCAAGGGGAAAACCGAGGAAGACGCAGGGAAGGGTGCGGGCAGTGAGCTTGTCCGTGCCGGAGGCACGGACGTGAGCAAGGCAGCCCCAGACGTGGAACGCAGACGCGTCACCAGGGGACCCAGTCCAAAGACGGGTCGGCGAAACCTGCGGCTGATGAGGGTGCGGCCACAGGTTAAGCTGGTGAGAAGCGTAGCGCACAGCGAACGGCCACAGAAAATGGGGTGCACCGGCATGGATCATGGAGGTGCGAGCGACCTCCATGACCAAACCGATGCGTCGCTCAGCGACCCCATTCTGCTGTGGGGAGTCCGGTAGGGTGAACGTCTGGGTGATGCCCTCCGCACGACAAAAGCGACCAAGGACACCGGAGGCAAACTCGCCACCATGGTCTGAGTGAAGACGCAAGACAGGGAGACCGCGGTGGACACGCGCAGAGACAAGCCAGGGGATGAGAGCGCCAGGCACGTCGGCCTTCCGCTCCATGGGGAACACAGTGGTGTAGCGCGTGTAGTCGTCGACAAGCACTAGGAAGTAGCGCTCTCGACGCGGCCCATGGACGGGGGCGGGGCCCCAGACGTCCAGGTGCAGGGTTTGCAGCGGCGCGGCGGTAGGGGGAAACGAGGAGGAGTGAGGGGCACGGCGAAGCCGACCCTCGACACAAGGCGTGCAATGTGGGGCTGGAGAGGAGGGAAACGCGGGGAGCGAACCTGGGAGACCAAGGACGAGACCGTGCTGAGACATGTGACGCAGACGCGGGAGCGCAGGGTGACCTAGGCGGTGGTGCCACAGGAGGGTCGGGTGAGTGAGGGAGCGACAGGAGCAGGCAGCAGCAACCTGGGTAGACGCAGCCACCTGAGGGGGCGCTCCAGCCGGGGGGGTCACGGTGTCAAGAGTGAACAGGCCGGACACCGGGTCCCGGGGGAACGTGAACAGGGGGGCACTAGTGGCGGCCTCGGTACAGACAGCATACCGCTCGTGACCAGGGAACGTAGTGGTGACGCCAAGGTCCTGGAGGCAGCCGACACCAACTAGGTTCCTGGAGAACGAGGGGATATGCAGACCTGTAAGAGAACCCGAAGGAACCGCCGGACAGGGAAGGGTGGTGGAACTGCGGGCGACTACCGGACCGCCGGAGGGGTCAGCAAGAGAAACGGCAGCAGGAACAGGAAGCGGCGTCAGGGTGGTGGAGTCGCGGAAGAAACACCGAGAGGCGCCAGAGTCCAAGGTGAAGGAAAGCGAAGCCGAGGGGTCTGGCGACGGAATGACGGCGGAAGCACCAAGACTACACAAAGCAGGGGATCCTACGCCTGACGCAGCAGGGGAGGCTAAGCTAGGCACACATACACTAGGCAACAGTGAGTAATAAGCGGGAAGCACACTAGAGTCATCAGCATACATCACATGCAGAGCAGAAACAATGGCATCCATGTCCATATCAAAAATCGGAATCTGACGACTAAGCAAACTGTGCCAGTCCGGGAGGTCTGGCGACGGGCCGAAGCGCTGACGAAAGAGGTCGTCCAGGCGACGAAAACAGCGGGGAGTGGAGTGACCGAGCTTACCGCAAACGAAGCCGCGGCGAGGACCGGTCTGGATCTGGTACTGACAACGCCCGCCGCCAGAGCCACCACGCGGCACACCACCACGCGCCCGGCCACCGCCAGCGCCGGGCCACCCTGGCGGGAGGACACTCGTCTGCCGCGTCTGCGACGGCTGCTGCGGCTGCTGTGAAGGCTGCGACTGCGGCGGCTGCTGCGGCTGCTGCACCTGCAGGGGCGGCGACTCAGCTGAACCCGGCAGGGT